TGTTTATTGTTACTCATATTTATGCATGTTAAACCTTAAGCCAGCTTGCTATCTAATTTCCATACTTTTTTATGCATGACGAGCTTTCACTAAATTTAAATGTAAAATATAGCTTTAAGCTTGATAATCGAACTTTTGTAATACTATTACTCGAGAGTTTAAGCGGGTAGAAGCTTTCACAGACTAATTTGAGTACAAAGAGCTTTCGCTAATGGCAATAGTGAGAAAGCTTTAAGCTTGATTACAGAACTTTACAAAAAATACAAGATCCCTATATAATGGTTTATCAATAAATGAAGTGAAAGCTTGATCTAAGCTTTTGTTAAGAATTTATGCGCCAAATCATTATTATTATTTTAATGCCATTCTTAGTTTTATAGGTTATAATAGTGTTTAAACTTTAGCGTTTAGTTTATCTGAAGAAAAGTTTCAGAAAGCTCTCTTAAAGCAGGCGAAATACTTTTTTCGAGATTATCATATAAAAAAAAAAACATTATATATTATTATTTGATTACTAAAAAACGAGAGCGCTTGAAAGTTTAAATTGCTTGGAGTGCTTATATAATTGTAGTTTTTTATACTCCTGGTAATTACTTATAGAAAAACGAGTAAAGTTTGTTAACGGAAAAAAATTTCAAAATTATCTATGAAAAGAAAACTCTGTTTCAGACCAATTTTGAATTAAACCTTTTTTTGGTTTTATAAGTTTGTTTTACAAAAATTGTAATGAAATATTTAAAACAAATTATATAAATTATCTGAAGTTGGTATTAGAATTCAAAATATTTTTTTTAATCATAATAATTGCTATGATGAATCATTAATAAATTTTTATAATTACCTACATCAAAAGATTGATATTTCCAAAGTGTTCCCAATTTATGAAAATGGCATATGAAATGCATTAAAATTTACTAACCTTGAAAACCGAAATTCATATTGCAAAACAATATAACAAAATTTACTGAAAAACCAATATCCAAGGCGAAATATATACAACAATCTTACTATATGGTATATGTACTACAAGTATTTATGAAGTAATCAATTTATATGTATTCACAAAACAAATATATATATATACACTTATACTATTCCCTTTTCCTACCATTTATACTACCTTATGCGATGTAATTATAAATAAAATATATAAGACACAAAAAATTGGAAAATATATAGCGAAAAAATTAAAAAAACAACAAAAAAAATTGTAGAAATTAAAAAATTGACGAAAAAATATTTCCAAAAAAGAAGTTAATAATAAAAAAGAAACTACAGAAAAATAATAAAAAAAAGAAACTCAGAAAAAATCTAAGCAAATAAAAAATTATATTACAAAAATCGTGCAGTTTGCAAAAACATATTGAGAACTTCTTAAAGAAGTTGACGAATATCCAGTTTTAAATAATTTGTAATAACAAATTCGCTCAGTAAAAATAGTTTAAAATTTAAACTTAAAAACCAATGCAAATATTGCTAAGAAAATTGACTAGAATTAAAAAAAAAACATAACTTATAAATTCTTTCAACAAGCTGATGAAGAATTTAAGCGCCTCTAAGTATTGTAGCTCCGGTATCTAAACTTTATTTAAAATATTAAAAATTTTTCAAATTGGTAAAAAAAATGTTTTTTAGCGCATAGAAGTTATTAAAAATTTTTCTCATAAAGCAAACAGTAAAATATATTAACGTAGTTAATTGACAAATTGGCTTTAAGTCGAAATTTTTTTTCCAATAAATTTCAATTTTCGTAAGTAAAAAGTATGTATATATAATATTTAATTGATATGTTAAATGGTGTTAATTAATAATTTTTCGGCATATACGCAACTTTAAAAATAAAAATATAATTTACTTAAAATGTAAGACGTTAATAAGTATGAATTTTTTTATATTTGATTTTTTATATATTATATATTTTGTATATTATTTTTTTAATTTATTTATTTTTTTATATATAATGTATATTCTTTTTTTTATTTTTTTTTTTTTATTATCTAAATTTTTTTTTTATTTGTATATTATTTTTTATTTATTTTTATATTATTTTTTATATATTTTTATATCATTTTTTAACATTTTTTGTTTTTTAATATATTTTTTTATTATTTTTATTTTTTTTTAATTCTTTTTTCCCCCTTTTTTTATTTTTTTTTTAATTCTTTTTTTCCCTTTTTTTATTTTTATTTTTTTTTAACTTTTTTTTTATCATCAGAAACTCATTTTGCTATTAGTTTTAATTGTGCAAAATTTCTTTTCATAATCAAAACTTATTATTCTATTAACTTGATAGCTGAAAACCCGAAAATTTTTCACATCATTGTTCATACAAGTTATATTTTAAAAACAAATTACTGTTGATTTAATTATAAAAAAAATAATAATTTTTAGTATTAAGAATTATGAACAGTTTTAAATCCGTATATGTAGTTAATAAAAAAAAAACAAAAATACAAAAATAAATAAATAATAATAAAAAGAACCCGAAATTAAGCGTAAAATTCAATCTTAAAGTATTGTGAGTATTACTAGCGCATACGATCAATCGAAAATTTAATACACTCAAAAAAAAAAAATAATAATAAATATGAAAAAGCATTAACACGAAAAAAAAGCTAAAAATTAAAAAAGATAAAATCATCATGAACCACATTTAAATATAGCAGAATCGTGTATTAAGCGTCATGCGTAGCATTTTGTAAATCACAACATACATATAAACACTAGTAGCGAGCAAAAAACTACAACTACTTACTTACATACATAAAAGCAGCGTTACATATTTATATACTTAAACTTATAACTTAACTTGTAACTTGTAGTTCTTACGAAAAAAGCAAAAACAAAAACAAAAAACAAAATATATTTACTACTACCAATTTGTAATGGAAAAAAATACTTATACATAATAATAATAAAACAAAAACACTTACACTTTATTATATGCATAAACAAACAAACAATTTACGCAAGCGTATCAGTAAAAGCAAATCGCATTCATACATACATACAAACAACATATTGCAAACATTCAGAAAAAAAATACAAATAAATATGAGAAGAAAATTTTTGTGACTTTTATTTATTTAACCGCAAAACTGTATTTCTTGTTTTTTTTTGTTCGAAATACTTTTCAAATTTCAATATTTTGTGTAGTATTTATAATTAAAAAATGTATATGAAAAATAATAATTCTAACGCAAATAACAGAGTCGTTGCGATTTTCGAAGCATACAAATGCCTGTAAATCGCTTTTTTGCTTTAAAAAGGATTAAAGAAGCGACAGAAGACAGAAGGGCGTCAATCTCACAAAATAAATTTAATATATACTAAAAATGAAAGATTTTATTTGTCATGTCTTCGAATATTTTTTATTTGAAAAAATAACTATATAACATTTTTTATTAAAAAAAAAATGTTTCTTTCTAATTTTTTATAATAAATTTTGTTTTGTAAAATTTAAATAACAATGTTCACCTGTGTTTATATATTTATGTAATATTACAGTAGCTTCAAATCAACATTTTTTTTTTTATAAATACCATAAATTCGGCTTAAACCGTATTTGTGCAAAATTCAATCCAAGTACAAAGAAATAATAAGAGAGAAATAAAAAAGTAAGGTTATGTTAGGCTTCTATTTTTGTAAATCTAGAATGTATCTATATAATATTAATAGCTGAGAGAATGTCCACAGCATCTTTAAAACTATAGCTAGAGTTCTGTATTTATAAATAAACGAGTATGTATGTAGTCCATTTAATGGAGAAGTAAGTACTCATGTCCCTCTCTAAAAGTTTAGACAAACATTTTCACGTTTAAAGTTTTTCATTGATTTTCCTAAAAAAAAATGCAGATAGGTTTGTCCTAATTGACGCGACAATTTTAGTTTAGGCGTTTATATATGCTAGGAAGTCAGAAAAAACACGTTTTTTATGAAGAGAGTTTTATTTAATGATTAAATTAATAACAATTAATGTACTTTTATAATCAGCGATTAATTTTCAAAAATTTTTGATTCGCTTGCTCAAATTGCCGATCGCTCGAAGGGCTTCGGAAAAAAGGTGTCTGGTCGGGAGGAAGATTTTTCTGCTAAAAATTATTGCAAAGCCAAGAAACCAAACAAAAAAAAATATTATTTATACTATAGATACGGTTAATGAGCGAATAAATAAACAAAAATTTTATTTCTGACCAAAAACCTTATTATTATATAAGAATATTCTTAAATATACATAAGTACGTGCGGTCAAAAAAAACTTCGGATTTTTTTAAATTCACAAGTATATATAACCTTTTAATGCAAAGATAATAGATTACTTTTCACTAGAGCTTATAAGGGTACAAGCGAAACCTCAGTTCAATTTCAGTCGGATTGATTTTTTGTATTGTTTTTAATATATATAATAAATGTATATATTTTTTTATATGTATAATATTTTTGGAATTTAAGAATAGTCTAAAGCAATGTTAGAAAATTACAACATTATTTCATGCAGCTGTCTGCGATTCGCCGGACTTTGGAGAAAGTATAGAGATAAGGATAAATAGCTTTCAAAGAGAGCAGAGCTTACACATAGGGAACTGAAGAGTGGCGAATCGAACACTACTTGTCTAGTATTAATTTTATAATAGGAACTCAAAAGCTAGTCAGTTGATCATAGTAATGATTATTAACCAATTAACGGCTTTTAGATTTATTAAAGATGAATATTGAAAAATGTTGTATGCTGAATACTGATAACTGAAAACCTTTTTTTTCATAGCGACGTCAAATAATTTTTGCCTATAAATAAAATGTATGATGTATATACAAATTATTCAATTAAGCATAATAAAAAAAGGAAAAAAAATTAAAATTAAGTAAGTTGCAAATTTTGCCTTTCCAAAAAAAAATATACAAAAAACAATGTTTATGATCTATGTTTGTCTCTCACTACAATTTGCTTTGAAGTCAATCACTTAACTGCCACCTTTCTTCTCTCTCAATTCTCTTTACAGAATATCAATGGAAACAGCTGGTCTGCCCATACCCGGTTATCATTATATTGCACCGAATGCAATTGTCAAAACGCCAATACATTAAATCGCCAAAAAATTTAAAAAGCAAAATAATAATAACAAAAACACAACAACAACGTGCGAAGAACATAAAAATGCGATTGCGTGCTCAAACAACTCCAACAAAGCAAAGAAAAACGCATGTGAGGTGAATATACGTGTTGGAATTGAAGTGAAAAGAGAGAGCATGAGAGTTGAAAAGTCATTTGTCAACAAAGAGGAGCTGTGCAAAGTAGACAAAAGGCAAAAAGGAAATAAATTGCAAGAAGAGAAATAAATTACAAGAAATGAGGCCGCCGCGCAGTTTAATTTTAATAAATAAATAAATAAAATATTAATGAAAAACAACAACAAACGCGGTAACAGCAAAAATGGCAACCAATAAGCAATAAATAATAAGTATAAAAATAAAAATATTAAAAACAAGTTTAGTTAAAGGGAGATTGCAAGAAAAAACAAAACGAAAACAAAAATAAAAGTAAATGAAAAAATAATTAAAATAAATATTTAATTTAAAATTTTGTATGTATTAAATATTTCTGGTTTCACACACACACACACATGACGTAGTTGAATGTGCAAATGTAAAGTTTTAAATGCAAAAATGACGTATACAAAAACAAAAACAAAAACAATATAATTGTTAATTCTTTTTTTATGTTATATACAAAAGCAATGTAATTTTGTGCTGTTTTTTCATGTGAAGAAAAATGATAAAGTAGCAAAATAGACATACATACATATGTACTACTTGAGCACACACACGTGCATACATATATACACACACATTTACACACGAACAAACTTTAGCACTTTGTAGTTGTAGTGAACGCCAAAAAACAGGAAAAAATAGAGGTTTGAAACAAGCGCTTGGCGCAAAATCAATACAAGAATAAAACCGTTAAAAAAATTTTTTGAAAACAATATGAAATTTGTTTTAGAATAATGTGTAATAATACCGAAAACCGTTAAAATGTGACAAAAAATTTATTTTCATTCTATGTAATTTTTTGTTGAGAAAAAACCAAAAATTGTTTTGTTTTACTAATAAAATTATTGCAGTGCAACAACACACACCAACATACATGTACGTGTGTTATTGTTATTGGAAAACAAAAAATAACAAAAAAAAAACAACAAATTTTTTTTCGAAAACCGTATAATATCACATTCATATCGCAAAATAAATTGCTGCTGCAGAAAAAAGTCATATCTTCATGCGACAAATAACTGCATTTGCAGCAATAAAAATTATACGACAACAACACTAATAACAACAAATGCAGGCAAATCATAAGCAAAATGTGCAAAATATAAACAAATATACACAAATACCAACATATGATTGCAAAGCAACGGCAATAACGGTAAAGAAAACGTAACATAATTACTTAGACACACATACAGACAAACAAATATATACACATATTTATGATATTAAGCTATTTACTAATTTACTACACATTTTTTCAAGCAAACCTGCATACACACATATATACACATACATACATACATACAAAAATAAAAAAATTAAATGCAAAAACAATAAGAAAAACATTACAAGCAGAGCAAGAGACGGCAGAAACATAGAAAAAGCAACACTGCAGCGTTGATTCTTAAATATTTGAAAACCTAACATATCCGCTAAAATAAAGAAAAAATAATATAAACAAAATGGATGCGTGGCAATAAATAAATAAAATAATGCAAGCAAAAAGCAAGAGGCGAACAGAAGCAAATGAAGTTAAAACAAACAAAAAAAAAAAGCAAAAAACAAAAATAAAAAACGTAGTTAAAGAATAGTAAACAAATTATGATAAATGTTTAAGTAAAGCAACATTAGTTGAAATTGCATACACACATACACATACATACATAAATTTATAATTATTAACTAAAACACTAATTATTTTACTTTCGTTGTAGTTGTTTCTTTCTATTTGCGCCCTATTCTCTAAAAGTAACTATTTTCTAATGTTCGTTCTTTATTACTTAAATGTATGGTCTTTTTTTTTTTTGAAATTGTTATATATACTCTATACATATCTACACACAGCACTTTCTTGCTTCCTTTCGTTTTATGTTTGATTTTAGCAGAAAAAAAATTGTAGCTAAATATTGAGTCAAAAGTTTGCAGTTTTTGTAAAATTTATGAAAGCTCCACGGAAGCTGAGATTTAAACTGAAAAATTGATAAACGAACAAAAAAACCACAAAAATTTTTATCGATATTTTTAATGTCAATAATGCAACGCGCGCTACTTTACACTTTAGGTGAAAGGAAACGAAATCGTGTGACTTTAAGAGCTTTCACACAATCTTTGCGCTTTACTGCGTGAAATATCCAAACGAATAACCATACAAATTATTATTTTAATATTTTGAATCTCAATGATGTATTGCTACTTCATGAAACAGGAATTTATGCGTCTCAACGAGCTTTCACATATCACTTGAAACAGAAAAATAATTTTTTCTTTACTATAAATAAGTTTTTTATCAATTCGTATGAGATTACTGGCTACTATTCATTTATATTTAATACATGAAAGTGATAAGCTTTCATTTTTTACTTTCAACTAATAAAGCGTTCAATTTTAGCTTTAATTAAAGCTTTCACTGCTTTTGTAAAAAAACAAGCACACATATATATAAATATAATAAAATATACTTTATTTCATAAAAATCGCATGCTGTTTATAGTAAAAATTGAATTTGCAAAAAAACTTGTATTACTCAGCTTTCATCAAATGGTAGCTTTTTGACAATTTCGTGCTAACAGTAGTTTTAAAACAGTTCATAATAATAGAAAAAGCGACAAAGAGTTTCATGTGGGATTTGCGATGAAATTTGCTTATTAAAGCTTTTATCATCTGCGATAAAATTCCATGATTAAAGCTTTCATTTGATGAAAGCGCCTTGACAAAAGATAAAGCGTAGTTATTGACGAAGCTTTGTAGAGATAATAAATGAAACAAACAAATTTACTATGATGCGAAAAGCGCTAAAAAAAATGCGAAAAACAATTTTCTTTTTGTAAAAGTTTTTTAGAAAATCTCATATAATTTAATGGCGTGGAGCATAGGTATAGTAAATAGCCGACGGTTGACTCAATATTTAGCAGAGCTTTTTGTTTAACTTTTTCTTTTTTTTTTTTGTAACTCGTTCTTTTAACTCTAAAATTTCATACACTACTTACTCGTTTAGCAAAGAAATCTCATTTGCCTAATAAATAAATAGCAAAGCTATGCTTTTAAAATATTTTAACATACACAAACTCTAACTAATATTAACGGTTAATTTTAATTTTTAATTGTTTTGACTTTGCAATTTATTTTTACTGTTTTCTTCTTCTTGTGTTTAACTTAATTAACCATTTATTTTATGCATTACTTGCAATAATTTTTATTTATACATGTTTCTCAAGTCATATTTGCGTAAATTTTAAATTAAATTTAAATAAATTAAAAAAAATTAAAATATTATATATACACAGATTAGCCAATGCTTAGCAAGCTTCCAAAATTTCATAGAAATATAATTTATTAACATTATTATTATTATTATCATAATTATAATTATACATAATAATTAAGCAATGTGGAAAAACACGAGTTGCATAAGTAGAAGATGAAAGCAAAATGCTAAATGCGAAATGCGAAACGCGCCAAATAAACGGCAAAGACACAAAAGACTTTTTTTTAATAATTTTACTTTATATACAAATTATTTTAAAACAAATTTTATTTCATTTATTGAGAAAGCGTGGTGGAAAACAAAAAAATACAAATTATTTAAACGTTTATAACGTTTTAGTTTTAGTCAAAAAGTGAGCAAATTTTACAATATAAATAAATATAAATATTTTTCATTTTGGAAAAATCAAAATTTTATTGGCATAGAAAATTATTTGTATTAGCAATTAATAAAAAATAAAAAATAAAAACAAAAATATATATATATATACATAAATGCATACATGTAGTTGTATGTATGTTTAAACAATACAATATTATTCATTTATATTTTCGCATGCGTCGACTTTTTGTTGTTGGAATTTTCGAGCATATATATAGTTTACATACAATACATACACATATAAAATTCATATTTAATAATATCTAAATAATAATAAAAAGCGAAAAAATATTCTCGTACTGCAAAGTAAAAAAAAACAGGCGTCTTTTTCTTTTAGTTTTAATAATTTGGTTAAAATTATTTCACTTATTTTTTAGCATTCATATATTTGCTTATTTGCGGATGCGGGACGTGGACTTAAGTTGTAAAACATAACAAAAAAAAAACAACATAAAATACTTATATTTTATTCTTCTTAGTTCACATAAAGCGAAGGTAGTAAAATAGGGTCTCTAAAAGCAGACTTTACTGCACAGCTGAATTATATGCTAAAATGTGAGGTCTACATAAAAACTTGCTACGAATATTGTACTTCAGTTAATAATTTATTAAAAATTCATTTAATTCTAACAAAATATCCAACAGCTGGTTGCCATATTGATCTAAAATGTTATTTTCAGTGCAGTAAACTTTGAATACGGCTGAGTCACTTGAGTTTATGAAATCGTTTATGTATATATGAACACATAGTAAAAATTTGATAGCGCTATGGAACTTGAGTTTATGACGTCACATACGTAGTACTCATAACTGTCAACACTTTTGAGCAAATGAAGTAAAATTATAAATTTTTGACAGTTAAGATTTTAAATCAGCTTAATTTTGTTTTTTTAGTTAGTTGAACTACATTCGCCGTAAAAAGAACGACTCTAACCAAGTTTTATAACTCTATGACAGTCGAAAGAAACTACTGGGTGCACAATGAACTTTATTGGCGCTAGTCGAACGATATATTTCTAGCAATAAAATTTCGCATTCAAAATCTACGTCATTTCGACAGTTTCGGAAATACATTGCTGTAGTCAAAAATAAAGAAAAAAGTTTTAATTTCCAAGTAAGTATAATAAGCCCCCAGTGTCGTCCCGTTTATCTTTTAAAGTAATTTATATTTTTTATTTATTTATTTATTTTTTATATTATTCTTCAAAAATATATTTTCACATTTTTATATACAAATATTATTTGCAGATCTACATATATTTTTATTTAATTTGTTATTTATTTTTTTAAACAAAAAAAAATATCTATTTGTTAACCCAACATATCTCTGAACATATTACATACAAAATAAATTATTAAGCATATTAAATACATACATATGAATATATTGTGCAATAAATGCATATTTAAGTGAAACATATCGCAAATACATATTATGAAGGTGTTATACATACATACAAACATAATTTACTCAAAACATGCTAACCAGTTCAGATTATGGTTGAAAATAGTACTATAACCTAAAATACCATATAACAAACAAATATCAAACATAAAAATTATAAAAAAAAAACTAAAACACCAAATGAATTTTCAACGCCAATACAGTGCGACAAACATACAAAACAGGACATTCAGGTTGCTCTCGAGCAAAAGTTGATTACCATAAACTATAACTAATACATAAAATACATAGAAGCGTTGAATAACGAAGGCAGGCGGAAAATGCGAAGAAGAATATGTATAAAAGAAGCGGTAGTTATGACACTTAGAAACTATGAATTTCTATATTTAGTATTATTTATTGAAAAACTCATACTTAATAATTTTGAAAAATAAACAGCGCCAACAGCTTTTACTATATAACATATACTCCGAAAGCGCGAAAAGTGCTTATCTTTCTGCGAAACGCTGAATAATACTTAATATTTCTATATTCAATATTTTTTTTCATATTCAATATTAAATATTATTTATTGAAAAATAATATACAAAATTAATTATTTCGAAAAATCAACAGAATGAACATAGCAAACTAAATATACACGTCGAATGGATGAAAAGTGATTTTTTTCTTCAAAAAATAATATTTTTACCAACAATACAAATTTAAAAGTTTATTGCCATAAAACATAATATTACATAAAATTCATAGAAAACGTTGAATAAAAAAGACAGACGGCAAGTGCGAAGAAGAGTATGCGTAAAACCAGGTGCAGTTATGATACTTCGAAACGTCAAATTTCTATATTAAGTAGTGTTTATGGACAAGAAAATTTTACGGCGAATGGATGAAATATGATTTTCTTGCTTCAAAAAACAATATTTTTGCGAATAAACCATATTTAAACACAACCAAATGAATATAGAACAAAATAATCATTTGTGTATGTAAAGAAGTGTTTTGAATTTTTTAAAAACCTTTATGGAATTTTTGTGCAGAAATACCTACAAGTATATATGTACATCCATTGGCAGTAATAATTTTAAAAACTTAAAAAATTTATTTAACAATTCAGCGCATGAAAAAATAAAAAAAAAGCGAGATTTTTATTTCATTCAAACATAGCTCGCGTTTTGAATTGAGAAACATATTCATGCAATGGATGAATTCGTTTACACAAGTTTTGTAAGGACTTACCATACAGTAAAGTTGCGGTGTATAAAAACATAGAAAAGCATGACGAAAAATTGTGCAACACTTCATTCATCCATTGGATGATCTTTTTCTACTTTAATAAGTAATTTTTTTGCCAGCATCCAAATAAAATACGAAATATTAATTGTTTGAAATCATTAACTCTGCACACAACTTATTGTAAACTAATTTCTGGGCCATTCATTGAATGGTTTATTAGCATATAACAGTAGCTATAGAAATGCGTAGAAAATAAAAATTTACCACCAGTTTATTTATGAATAACACTTCATAGACCACAATTAAAAGAAAGCGCAGTGCTATTTGTCTTTTAAATAATTACGGTTAAACGTTGAATGATGAATATACGCGCGCATGAACGCGAATAGCAATCGTTGTCGGCATGAGACATTGCTGCGCACAAAGCAAAATAAGTGAAAAGTGTGTGTGTTTTCTTTTTACTGCAAAACCGAAAAGAAAATTAATAAACTGATAAAATGTAAACCAACAACAATCACTTTAAGCATTCAAACAAACAAAAAACAAAATGATGAAATTTATGAAATAAATATGGACGAGAAATTATTGTACGCAATAAGAAAAAAAATATTAAATATATAAAGAAAAATATTAAATATATAAATAAATATTAAATATTTAAATTATATTAAATGAAGCAAAAACAAAAATAATAATAAAACAAAATAGTAAATAAATATTATTGGCAAAAAGGAATTGAGCATACAAAAGTATTATTAAAAATAACAACAAAAAAAATTATATAAATATATGAATGAATTTGTAGCGATATTTTTTTTTCTAAATGTAAAAGTAAAAGTAAATGAAATTAAAACAGTTTTTTAGCGCTTAAGCTTTACTAGTATTTAGATATTACAAACGTAATTGATACAAATTAATAAGAGTAATGAGTTCTGACAATTAAATGTGTGGCAAAAAATAGGATGGTAAAAATTAAATTTACATGCAATTTGTCTTAATGATGCGTATGCGCTGGCGGAAGCCGAAGCACACATAAAAATATACACACACCTTCACAAAATACTTAAAAGTGAAAGTAGGTATAACATAGTTAAGAAAGAATTTTGAAGCCGTAAATGTACTTTTTAATGTATAGTATATGTGTGTAAATGAAATTTCAACAATGTGTACAAGAATTACACTGTAAGAAATAACTCACCAGCAACACGATACACAATTTTGTATTTAATTTACATATAATATTTGAAAAAAAAAATACGATTCGTAAAATTATGCAGCGATTTTTTTAGTGAAAGTTTTTACAATCTTCATTGAGATTTCTCTTGTTTTTGCTTACGTAAGCGCATACCTAACCTCACATTTATACATATTCCAGATTTTAACTTAAATCATTTACAACAATTTAAAATTTTTTTTAGAATTTTCACCAGCAGTTGCAAATATTTAGTCGGTATGACTACAATAACTCAAAAGAATTGTAAGAGAGAGAAAATTCAAGAGCGTAACAACCACTAAATGCTCATAGGAGGCTTATCAGCTGTTAAATTGCAAATTTCTTGTCATTTTTCCAGTCAATAGCTTTTTTTGAATTCCGCTCTTTTCTCACTCATACTCTTTCTGTTATTGCACTCTCTTTCTCTCTCTCTCGCTCTCGCTATCTCTCTGTTTCTCGTCGTCTTTAGGCTTAGTTTTAAATGACGCTGCCAACCGATTTTTATTTAATCTAGAACTATTTCCACTAAGATTTTAAATATATTTCTTTGCTCTTTGAAATTCAGTGAAATTCAATTTCTAATTACTCGAAGAGAAATTTTCTGCGATAACATACTTCTTTATATTTACTTCATTACTATTCTTAAGAACTTTCAAAAACCAGATGATCGCCGTCAAAGTAAGGGAGCAATAGATAGATAAAGGAAGAGAGAATAGAAAAAAGAGAACAAAAATTAAAAGTTGCGAAAACAGATGTTTACTTTTATGACAGCTAGAGAGAAAGATATAGATGATGAGAGAACAAGAGAAAAAGAGAGAGGACAAAGAGAGAGTGAGGACAAATAGAGAAAGAGAGAGCGATAATTAAATTTGTAAAAAGCAGATGATTACCATTATGACAGGCTGAGAGAGAGAGATAAATATAAAGAGAAGGTAGCGAGAGGGGGGATAGATAAAGAAAGAGATAATGCTAAAACAGATGGCTGCCTTTATGACAGCAGGAAAGAATAGAGAGGGAGAGAGGTATAGAACGTGAGTTATAGATACTATGAGAGGATAGTGGGAAAGTGAGAGAGAGAGAGAAAGAGAATTAGATTTTGCAATGTAAAATATTTGAATACACTTGAGAAAATAATTTGAAAAACTATCTACTGATGTTATTTAGTACTTTTGTTGAGAAAAATATATCAGGTATCATTTCAATGTACACATTAGCTTACATATGATTTTTGAAAATATGTTAGGGCGTACAAATTAACTTCGACATCCCACTATTGCTTTCGTTGATTTTTTTAAGCAAAAATTTATACAAACACTTCGAAATTTGTTTTTAGTTTTAAAAACAAATCAGCACAGATTTTTCATATACACACTGGAAAAGAATAAATTTTCTGCACACTAAATGATGTATGAATACACCATTACTAACTCTTCTATGTGCCAATTTTAAGACAAAGAAAATATAATAGCCACATAATTTTTAGGTATTTTTGCCAGCCAATTTAATTAAAAGAACTTACTATTCAATATCAAATACATACATACACATATACATAAATTCATGAAGTAAAAAGCTTTATCTACGCTGAACTGAAATTAAGAACTTTTTATGCTGAATTCGAAAACAAGATGCACAGTCATACTTTTCAAGCATTGAATTTTCTAAAGGAAATTAAAATGTGGTAATAATCAATAAAAAAAGTATATATATAAATTGATGTGACTTCGATGTTAAAATGGGTATAAAAGCATAACAAAAAAAATTTAAAAAAAACTACCACAACAACAAACAAAACTTATGAACTTAAAACACTTGATTACAGGAAGAAAATGTTTAAATTTATTACTGCTAAATACTTACTGAATAAAAACATACACCAACACATACACACAAACTAATAAGTGTCAAATCACCAAAAAAAAAATATTTAAGTGTAACTAGTATTTTGCAAATATAGAAGTGCAGCAAATGATAATACAAATGGGTGCTATTCGAGATCCACAAAAGTATTATCAAAACTATGTTATTTGAACAAATTTAAACATGAAAAAAAAAATTAAATTTAATAGTAGCAAAAGCGCCAAGCAACAGCTATAAATCAGTAGGAGACTACAGGAAAGCATATTGAAAAAAAATTACACACAACTTTTTTTCGCAGTGTAAGAAGGGTTTTTATGCGAACCATTTAAAATAAATAAAATATCAAGTAAATAGGAATACACACCTACATGCATATATACACAAATATATATACACTTACTTGCGCATATATGTATATAAATTTATTATATACCATATACTAACATATACATATACTATGGCAGCAAATAGTAGGTGAAGAAACAACAAAACCAACCAACCAACAAACAAAGGGGGCGAAACTATTTCGTGATTAAAATGACAAATATTTCGCTTTCGACGACAAACCAACTTCAAAGCAATCATTTTTGAAGAAATAAAATTTAAAAAAATATTGTATTGAATCTTAAAAAATATATTATTACAATTATATCACAAATATTTAGTGAATTTTTTTAAGAATGTATTGTAAGCAAAGTTAAAGAAGATAAAATTAAAATAAATAAATTTTGCAGCGAAAATAAAATCGCTTTAAACTAAAACTGAAAAGACACAAGCTTAATTTGAAGTAACTGTATTGAAACTGAAAATACTGAAGTGCTTAATGCCTAAAATAAAGTGCTGAATGAAATTAAACTCTGAACATGCGCCGAAAAGTGACGTTAGTGAAGACGCAAGAGACGAATGTACATTTGAGCAGCCAGAGGAGTGTGGCATATGCTGACATAAAGCGCTGAATTGCAACAGTAGTGGTCTAAGGAGCTGAATTGAAGCGTTTAATAATATAAAGTATTTGTGCGAGTGCTGAGCTGTATGAAACATGTTGCGGAAGTAAACTTGGGTTGCTGTATTGCAGACAGAGTTGCTGAATGGCAGTCAAAATGGATGTATGAGCTAAAAGTAGACGCCAAGTTGCAATTTCATAAAAGTAAATTAAAAACCAAACAGTTTCAGGAATTTCAACTAAGTTTAAGCTGCCTAGAAAGTTATTAAGCGAAGTGGCTGACACAAAAAAACTTCTGAAAGCCGTTTTTAATTTTTCTAAAACTGAATAGGAAGTATAAAACTTTCACTAATAGTATCTATCAACTATTTATATGCTGAGCAGGCTAAATCGCTTAACTAACCAGCAAAGTAGAATTTCACGCAAACTAGCTGCATGCGTTGCTTACATAATAGCAGCATTTTATATCAGCTGAATTGGTGCAAAACATGTTGAGAACCACTTTTAAATAAAACAGTAAATTGCGTACCAACTAAATGCATTTAAAAAACTTAATATCATATATGAACTAGTTTGGCATGTTGATCATGTTGATTCAGCGGAATATGCAACTTATAACTTGTATGCATACATATGCAATTCCAATAAAATACCTAGAATATTAGAAAAATTATGAGCTGAATTCAGCGCAAAAATTCTAAACATAATTGCAACGTAAAGATACAAGCAGAGTTTTGGTATTTGGCTTTGGCTGAATACATATTTTAGCAGCTGAATGCAACTTTTGTCAGCAAAAGGCATTCTGAATGGAGCTTTCATCAGCCAAATATACTCTGGCATGTTTATAGACACCCAAAAGCTAAAAGTTAAAGCTATTATTTGGGTATAATGATTTGAAAAATGCGCTGTATATGAAGTACAAGCTGAATATGACGAATTTAAGCTTATATACAATGGTGATGTAGTTTGTGATGCGCACAACAATCAGTGGCATGTTAAAGTGTGATGTTTTTAAATGCATAAATGTTATGTGCCACAGTTGGGGATTAGTAATGACTGAAGCAGCACCAATTAACAACTAAATACATAGAAAAAATACATTGAATATAGAATGACAAACTGATATAGAAAAGCAGCCGAATGCAGAAAAAATTCTAATGGATTTGTTGCACTAATAATAAAGACAACAACAATACTACCAAAATATAACAACAAAAGACAAGAAACATGCGAAACGGTAACTGCAACATAAAAAGGGATAAACACTAATAAAATTGCAATAAAAAATAACGGAGACATATACATATGTAGTATATATACTTGTATATAAACGTTTAACTGAGTGGTTAGTTAATTTAGCACAAATTAAAGCGATAACAACAATTAGCAAAATAAGTTGAGGGGTAGGTAGAAACCGAAACCGAAAAATGCGAGAATTTTAACGACAGTCGGAGCTACAAGTGTTAGCCTGATTTGAGATAATTTAAAGTGCTTGATTTAAAATAGAATTTTTTTGTTAATAATTTTTTTTTTTTGTTTTTTGTAATTTAGCGATTTTTACTGTTTTATATTAACTAATAGTGTTCGAGGATCAAGTGGAAGCAGTTGATGAAAGGATAACGTTGACAATGACAATGACTATGTTTATGATAATGACTTTTGACTATTGATAAATTGATAATAATGTTGAGGGGGAATGAAGTTGTTGCTAGCTAACGTGTTTACGTTGTTTTATTATGATACTGTTGGGAATATTGTACATTCACCAAAATATAATGGAAAATACGTGTAAAGAAAGCAATTGTAATGGTGCCTTAATTACAAAGTGTTTAATTTCCTAAATTTAAATATGTAAAAATAAATCAATAATGATGATTATGTAATAATGTATAAACAATTGATTCCAATAGTCGAAATATGAAAGGCTTCTTCTACTTACTGTAAATTTCCCTAATGAACATACAAACATATGTATGTGTATAAATGCATAAATATTAAAGAAAAAATGTATTTAAATGCTTCGCCAAAAATAAACCAAAGCCCAACAACTACGCCAAAAATGGGTGAAAAATAAAAAAAAAAATTTCGCTGATTAACTGTGAGACCTAAAACAAAGTGTCCAAGTGACACAAAATTTGAAGAAAGAAAACAACTCAAAGGTCAGCAATCAGTCTTTCCACAACTGTATAACTTAAAATTGTTTCCAAAAGAAAATGCGTAACTCTGCAAATTTCCGCTTTGTGTGCCCCCTTATGCGCCACCACCAATGTTGTTATCCCTTAAGAAAAAAGAAACGTAAGCAAACCAAACAGTACTACAAATTACGGTCCGTATATCAACCAATGTCGAACCAAGGACAAATGAAAGTAAAACCCCGAAAAAAAAGTATATATAACCGTACAGCAACTAAAGCACACACACATACTAAATGTATGGCCCAGCCAAGTTACCAATCAAGAAAACCGAATACCAATAAATCAGCTGGCATAATGATATGAAAATAACGGATATCCAATGATATTTACAACACAGCAAAGACAACATATCCAATCCGATCAACAAAATACATATGTGCAGTAAATAATTTAAAAAATATATGTATGCATATAACTATTCAGATATAAAACCACACGCGTTTACCCTAACGATTGGAAAAACAACGCAGGCAGCGCTGTCGACGAGTTGAAGGTTAACGAGGCGTAGGTAAAAGCGCAAGTAGGAAACTAGATATAGAGGCTTATTCGCACCACAAAGATAACGAGGTTCACACTTTTAGACTGCACCTGCTAGTGAGATATCTTGAAATCAGCAATGTATGACTGCTGATTGTTTTAACACTTAGAATCTTGAAAGCATAGGCTGATCTTGCTTTAGACTCAAATTATATGTGTTTTCCCCTATCGCAATCACCACTTAAAGAATTCTTACTTCAAAAACATAACATAAAAAGTTTCTTGATGTGTTGCTGAGAAAAGATGTTCCTATTGCGAAATCCAACAACCCATTTTAATGGTCTGACATTTCAAACTTTTTTTCGTGAAGCGCAGTTAACCATTCTTAATATTTGAATATTAATTTATATCGAGCTCTTCGTTTTATCGATATTCTTTTAATGGCTTGAGAGTCAGCAATCCATAATAAAATGAGTCTAAAAAAGCGATGGGAGTTTTTTGAATGGAAAACGACACTCGACTGTCTCTGTTTTATATTCTCTATGAGTACTCTCTTTCGATGAACATTCTTTATTGGTGAATACGCTATATTAGTGAGCCTCTATATTAGTGAGGCTGTCATAAAAATTAGCAGCTGTTTAGAGAATATATTAGTGAGCCTCTATATTGGTGAGCATATTCTGTGAGTGAGCTTCTGTATTGGTGAGTCTGTCATAAAAATTATCCATTGTTTTGTGGATATATTATATAATATTGATAACTTCTGAATTTTAGTTTATTTTACCGAATATTTAAACGAATTTATCCATGCTTGAGTTCATCAAAAGGCATTTACCACTCTTACAAGCTTTTACCTACATTTTTATAGATATAACGGTATATCGTTGTCGCTCGTCTGACAGCCGTCGCTCTCTATTTACACTGACCAAGAACCACTGTAGTTAAATGCAAGTCAAAATATTTACACAAAACAAAATAAACAGTTATATGTACATATACAAGTATAAGTAAATATTAAGCGATAATTGAAATCGACAAAAAATTAAGCAAATATACATACATATATACAAATTAAATTTAATAAATTCACGTGATTGTAGTATAGATTTTTTTAGTTATTGTAGTCATGCATTCAAAAGTCTGTAGTTGTACTTAAAAATTTTAAGAAAATCATCAAAAACACAACAACAACGGATTTTTTTGATAAAAAAAAATCGCATAAAATGTATTAAATTATTGCAACCAATAATTAGCTTGAAATAAATTTTTTTCGCAAAAACAAAAAGCACATGGTGACTTGCAACAAATTTTTGAATGTTTTTTCGCGTCAAATGATTTTTAAGTATCTCAATGTATAGAAAACCACACAATATTCAATAAAAATTGAAATTGCAAAAAAAAAAATCCAAATATTGTATGTTTACTTATTATACATATGTACATATGTGTGCGTGTATATGTCAGATACGATTTGAATTTCACACACATATTTACTTACATATCCCTCACACGCCCCCAAACCCGCCACACCCACGACTTTTATGTGTATTTGTACAAAGCAATTTACAGATTACAGAAACATTAGTATTTATAAATAATAATTGCATTACAAGCAAATAAATGATTAGCGCATAAGGTGTAAGCATAGTCTTAGGTACAACACATGATTGACAATTTATTAAGCAACAAGAAAAAAAATACTGTTAAAGTTTATTTACATAAAGAATGCATAATATGTAGGAAAACTAAAAATGAAAAATGAGATAAAAAAAATATTAAAATTTAAAGTGAAATATATATACATAGTATACATAAGCCAGTGAATAAAAAATTGTATCTACAATCTAAGGTATTTTAGATATTCTTATTTAATATCCGCAAAAAAAAACATGAACATTTAATAGGTTAAAAATGAAATGAAAGAATTTAAAACACACAAAATAAAAGTGGAAAACTGAAAAACAGATATGAACTGTGAAATAAAGTTGGACAACTGAAAATACACGAATACATGCATAAGAACATTGAAGAAAAGAAAATGTTGAATGCTTTAAAGGTCAACGCAGTGAGAGTAGTTAGCATTAATGGCTACAGTTGAGAGTAAAATATAAGCTGCTGGGGTTTCAACGAGGAAGTCAGCGCAATAGTTTATGCTGTCAAACTATTAAGCGCTTCAAATATGCAATATTTTATACTTTCCAGCTATTCAGCGCGTCAAATATACAATATTTTATACTTACAAGTTATTCAGCGCTGCAACTTTAATATTTTCACTTATGTGATTTATATTTTAAATTGAACGACAATCTACTTTCTTTCTATCACGACCTCGTCAAAATAAGGAAGCTATGAAAAGTGAGATTTAAATCAATATTCAGCATTTCCAATATGCCAGAAAAGTCACTAAAGATTATTTAAAAACACACAAATAAAAATTAAAGTAAAATTTCAAAAATTTACAGCTCAAAATGTACTCCAAATGAAATTCAGGGCCCATATTGAAACATAAACAAGTTATTTTACGGTCGTTCTATTAAACTTTACTCTTATGCAATCCATTATAAGTGGTTATGGGCTATTCAGCTTGCTTGAAACCTCATTCAGCGCTTAAGTATATATTACGCAATAAAATATGTTTATCATTTAGTTAAAATACAACTAAATCAGAATATTTAGCGCAATCTGAACTGTATTCAGCGCACATAAATGCACTTTCCCAAGCAAAATATTGTATTACAATGTTCATAGTACAGTTATTGTATCTAGAATTGGTATTCAAGCCAAATTAATATGCTTTATATAAAAATGTCCGTAATTTTGTGAGTGAATATAACTAAGCTTACTCTATGTTTAATTCAGCGCGCTGAGTCTCCGCTGAATGCCTTAAATTATATTAATTGTTAATCAAAGAAATTTGTAGCTTAAAACGTCAGCGCTTACTTCATTGAAGCCCCAACTGACAGCAAACAAAATGAAGGCGAATTGCCTTCGACAAGAACAAGAACTGCAAACAAATAAATACATACATACAATATATATCGTAAACACAAATAACAACAAAAATACGACTTTCGAAATAGATATGGTTTCTTAATGATGAAAAACAAAAACAAAACATAAATATATGCATACATACACACTTACAAGTAAATATACATATACTTAAAAATAAAATAATTAAAACATTGCAACAAAAACCACAAAAATTTATATTAAAAACATATAAATATGTACGAGTAAAATGAGAGATTTTCAAAATGAATGAGAAAAAGAAAAAACATTGTTCAATATTTAAGGCAAATAAAATTAAGCAATACGGTTGCAAAATAATTGAAAATCTAAGAATAGTAAGAAAAATATAGAATACATATTTTAAAATAAAACATATTTACAAGAAATGGAAATGGAAAATGGTTAAGACAATATTGTTTGTAAATATTATATTAAAAATTGCAAATTAAATAATATTAATTATTAGTATAAAACAAAAAAAAAACATAAAAGCGCTAAAGCAGAGCGAAAGCGAAATCAAGTGTGCAGTTTCAGCTGTTTGTTAAGATATTCAGAAAGCAAACGCTATCTCATATACGAGTTTAATGTTTGCTTATGTTAGTTCAATTATTTTTAATAAAAAATTTTAGTAAAAATATTGCCACAGAAATTGTGCGTTAATTTTTTTAGACTTTTGCTTCACAAAAAAAAATTATAATTATATAAAAGTTTTTTGTGCAATTAGTTAACTATTTAAAAATTTATTTTCTATTTGTTCTATAAATTACGAAAAAGGAAAGAAGATTGAAGCTACTTGACGACTTAATAAACTTTGAAAAATTTTCATTAAATTAAAAGGTTCTTGTATTGTGGTTGATCAAGCAGGTTGATTTCTTAAAATTTTTCCGTTGAATTCGATTGTTAGAGTGAAATATCTCCGGTAATTATTACTAACACGTCCCCTCCATAGTGTGCAGTCGACTTTCATTTAGTGTAATATAGAGAAATCTGATACAGATACACAAATAATTTCTAAATTTAAGAATTCAAAATACAGAGATCAGGGGGAGATGAGGAAGCTTTTCAAACAAGTCCATTTAAAAGCTTTTAAAAAGCGTCCTGAGGAAAAGAAACAAGCTCATTTAAAAGCTTTTAAAAAGCGTCCTAAGGAAAGGAAACAAGCTCATTTAAAAGCTTTTAAAAAGCGTCCTAAGGAACTTTTTTAGAATTTCTTATAAAAAATTTTAAAAATGTTGCAGTTTTGCGACCTTTTCAGTGTACTGGAGTGAATTGAATACTTGTACTACCACCATGCAACTCCTGAGTTCGATACGGAATTAGAGCAACTTAGAGCAAAAAACAACATTAAATTTTTCTGTCGAATAAGGTTTGCCCTTCGGCAGACTTCCGATATATATTTGCACTAAAACGGCTTCTTAAACATTCCTTGACCGATACGGGTCGGCATACCATAAGAAAATACTTGCATTTGTCTGAAAACAAATGACAAATCGCTAGAGAGAGCGTTGAGCACTAAACGTTAACTTTTTTTTTTGTTTGTTTTTGAATTTTCATAACTTTTAAAAAAACAAAAAAAACTGTGCCAAAACAGAAATAATTTCAGAAAATATTTGAAATTTTGAGAAAACAAGTTTATGAACGTTTAAAATTTATTAAAATAAAAAATAGGTGGCAATATTTTATGCAATAATAGTTTCTGAGGAAAAGTGCTTTACAAAAAATAAGAGTGAACAAAACGAAATTGCTGCAGCTGCATGTTGTAATGAAAGTAGTGAAAGTGATTTTAGCGCAAAGGGTAATGATTTGATTGGCTTTAATTTATCACTGAAATTATATGTAAAAGAAAAAAAAAACTTAAAAATCTAAATGGTTTGTAGGCACCATTTTAAAAATCTTATATATATATACATAGCAATAAAAGTTAAATACAGTATACAAGTCTATACAACTTGGTGAAAATGATGAACAAAAAAACACATACACAAACAAATTTAATGCTGTAATGTGTAGAGGGTATAAAAACGTAAGCAAATTTGAAAATTTAGTTGAAAAATGTAGTGAGCGTCATATAGTCATAAATTAGACAAAAAAAAAAGAAGAAATTGCAACAAATATGAATAACAAAAAACAAAAAAATAATGTAACACTTTGGTAACAACAACAAAACAAAGGAATTTCACGAATTTCACTTAACAGCAATTTAGATAAATGAAAGAAGTAAGAAAACGCGAAAAGAAGTAAAAAAAAAATATTAATAAAAAAGTGCATAAAAAACCTTTGAAAAATAAATTAAATAAAATGTGTAGTAAGAAAGTGTTTAGTGAGGCAATAAAAGCTGTTTGCGAATAGGTGGCAACACACTGTGACTAGTTGTACGACCACCAAAAGCGTTTACTGCTTTATTTATTTTCCCTTAATTCGATATGTATACCTTTCACACAATTTTATTAAAAAAGAAAACAAAAAAACAATTACAACAGCACTTTATTATTAAAATATATACATACATACATACATATTTACTTAATAAAAATGGAAGTGGTGGAAATAGACATGAAAGAAGTTGAATAATAATAAAACAAAAAATGATTATTGGAAACTGTACCAACACGAATTGTAACTGCTGCAATGAGCTTAATTAATAACTTTTGAATACAACAAAAATAAAACAAACAAAATACATACATACATATACCGCAAATTATTGCATATTGTACCGACGATAGTGTGTGAAAGTCAAAGCAATCGTATTTAATATATATATTACAACAAAAAATTATTATATACCACAACAACAAGTATTTGTTAAAATTAAGCATTCAAAATTAAGTTTTTATGCTGCGTAAGACTGTATAACTTTTCTTTTTGTTACGCAACTCAAAAAACAAAATAAATATTTAAATAAAAATTACAAAAATATTAAAGCAAGTATAAGTAATAATTCAAAGTTAATATTTATATTTCAAACAAATGTTTTGCAATAGTTGCAAAGGCAAGCAGAAATGCAGGTGAAATATAAAAAACAAAATGTAGAAAAAAATATTTAAAAATAAATTTTGCGTAAGAATCGGGTGAGCGATGCGTAGATATTTTGTGCCAAAGCAAGTTTTGTCTTTTTAATGTAATTATTTTTAGCAAAATTTTTTCATACAAAATGAGTCAAATGTCATATACATAAGTGCACATACACACATATACATGAAAACATACAAAAAATAAGAGACACACACAAATGCATACACTTAAATGTAAACAGACATTAGAGCAATTTTGAAAACATATTAAAATTTTTACGTAAAATAATTTGTTTTTCATTAAAAATATTACACTTTTTTTAATACGAAAAATATTTTTTAATTAAAACAATTTTGAATATATGCACTTAATAAAAATTAGTAATTATTAAATTATTTTTTTAATAAAAATTATTGTTTATTGTTTTATTATTAATTTTTTTTTTAAAGTTATTAATATTTTATCATTTTTCAAACAATTATTTTTTTTTTCTGAAAGACTTTTTTATTAGTATTATTAATATTACTTTAAAAAAATCATTTTTCAGATGATAAATTTCATCAAACTTCTAATTTACATTTTTTAACTAGAAAATAAATGAAATCCTTAATAAAAAAAATAAATAATTTAAAAATATATGGACCGGAATAATTCATAAAAATATTTACTTCTTAACAATTTTTTTTTTTCAAATAATGTATTTTTTAGTGAAAGTAAAATTTGAAAAAAACCGAGCAGTATTTATATGAAAAATCAAATTACTAAAAAAAATATAGCACAAAATTTATATTTAAAATAATAATCAAAATAAAGCTAAAGGAAAATAAAAATAAAAGTATAAAATAATTTAATGATTGAATAATTAAAAAAACAAGATAATTGAGTAATTAAAAAAAACATAAATAATAAAAAAAAATGCAAATAGTTATTAAAAAATTATATAATTTAATATTTTCATCAATTAATAAAAAAAACTTATTTCAAATATAAAAAAAAATTAATAACAATAATAATAAAAATAAAATTATAAAAGGGTACTAAAAAATGTAATTCCATCATTAAAAAAATATGTAAACAAAATAAATTATTTAAAATTACATAACAAGAAGATAAAAATTGTTATATTTATTTTTTAAATTAGATATATCACAATCATATGGTATCATATATATCAAATAAAATCAATTAATTCAAAATTTAACAAAATATATTATTCTATATATTTTTAATGTTTTAACTTTTCATAATAAAAACTGCTCGATAAAAAAAATTTGTATTAGTTTACTTTTTATTATTATTAATATATTTTTTAAACTTTGAATTTATTTTAGTTTGTTTACTTTTTTATTGGTATTATTATTATTTTTATTATAAATTTGACAACTCGTCTTTTAAATATTTTCTCGATTTTTTAAATATTTCTTTTTATTAATTCCAAACTTGCATTGTTATGCTTATATACAAACATATGTCTTCATTAGCAGAATTACAATAGGTTTAGTATAATTGCAACTAAATTTATTCAAATAAATTAATTTATAATAAATATAGTAAAAAATTATTTCTGAGCACTAAAAAAAATCATAAAAAGTTTGTAGTCATGGAAAAATATATACTGTAAATTGACAAAGATTTCCAAAAAATTAATTTATATTCCGATTATCTTGCATTTATTTAAAATTAAATTTAAATTACTAAACAGAAAAAAATATATTAAAATTATTAGAACAAATAAGTAAAATATGTCACAGTTTTTTTTTTAATAATAAATATAATATTATTTGTAAGTAAAATTTTGTATGATTTTATTTAATTATTTTAAAATTTAATTTGAAAATGTACACATATTATTTGTAATAAATTAATACATTTTTAAATGTTTTATAAATAAGTTAGTATATAAAAAAATTATAAAGCAGTTCTGGAAAATATTAAAATTATAATTTTTAATTACCTTTATTAATTTTTAAAAATTGTATTCTTATTAAAAATCATATATGCTTATTCAATCATTTTTTACAATTATAAAAAGAATACTAAAATTTAAAATTAATCCTTTTTTACAATTAAAAAAATAAATTTCTTCATAAAATGAATTTTTAATAGACACTATCAGAAAAATTCATACATAACCTCAAACACATGCATATAAACAAATCACCATGAAACGCCTTTATTTATTTAATTATTGCAAATATGTGTTTGCTTCACGTTGTAATCAAATATTTACAGCTAAAATGCAATAAATTTTAAATATACGCGTATATACATATATACATATACACAAATAAATAAATATTTTAAAGCATACAATATATGCGTTGGCATGTGCATACATACATACATACATACATATTTATGCCATATAAAAGGAATCATAGGTACTTACATGCATTTTATATAATACATACATACATACATACATTAATTTTACTTATACAATACATAGACCTAACCTCAATGTCGAAGGAAGGATAACAATAATTATAAGTAACAAGCAGACAGCAAAAGCAAAAACAAAATGAATATGAGCAGAAGCGCAAGTATAAAAGTGAATTCATAACATACAAGTACATACATATTTATATGGTAATACAGTGCATATACATATATACAAACATACATCAATAATATTTACTTAATATGGACTATACTATATTATATTTATTATTATTATTAATATTATTATTAAATTAAAAAAAAAAAAAACAAGTTAATTGTAGGAATTTTATGTAAAACGTTTAATTTGTTGGATTCATAAATAAAAATTGTGGTTTTATTATAACAAAAAAAAAAAGAAGAAAACAAAAACAAAAACGCTTTTTTATTTCGGAATTGCTTTTTCCTTCGTTATTTCGTGAGTATTACATTTATGTGCTAAACTATTCTATAACTCTTTTTATCTCTCTTTCTCTCTCTATTTTGCCTCTTTATGTATATTTGAAGCATAACTTTGCTTTTCCTCAGTTGGCTCTCGGCTCAAATATGATATCGATAATTATATTTCCTATTTCATTTTGATTACCTACAATTCAATTATTTTATTAAAAGAAAAAATTTACAACGGAGACTTTTTTACAAAACAAAACAAACAAAATCACCAACACGCTTTCATGTTCATAATGTGAAAATCGAAAAGGTTTCCTAAATCAAACTTCATTTAGATTTGCTGGACTTAAAAATTATAACTGGGACGAACCTAAAATTATTATCAAAAGAGATTGATACTAAGTCTATAAAACTGGCCAGTTTAATTAGAAAAAAGAAAAAACTTTTACTACGTTTGCACTGCAGCTATAATACCCTACACAAATAAAATAGTTTTTTATATTAGAACTATATTTCGATAGTTCAGTTTCTATGGCAGCTATATGCTATAGCGGTCCGATATCGACCGTTCCGACAAATGAGCAGCCTCTTGGAGAGAAAAGGCCGTGTGCCATATTTCAGATCGATAGCTCAAATAAAATAACAATAAATCGACTCAGCTCGTCATGCTGACATTTATATGTACACTTTACAGGGCCTTCGACGAATCCTTCTGGGTGTTATTTAAATATGCACATATGTATGTACTTTATATTGTCTCCGACGTTTCTTTGTGGGTGTTACGACCTTCGTGGCAAATTTAATATACCCTGCTCAAGGTATACAAAACACTTCAAGTCTCAAGAACCTTGAAAATTCGCTTAATTTAAGGGGCTGCTAGATGTTCCATTTCATCAAATATATAGGCAAATATAAACGGTGCCAAGTAATTTTACTGCCAGAATCTTCGCTTATTTTCCTCGTTAACTTAAAGTGTTATCGATATAATATTTCTCTCTTCAAAATATAGTATAATTTTTCAAGTTTAACTTAAGACTGGCAAGAATCAGATCCAAAGGTATGTCCATAGTAAAAATGTTCTGGAAAGTTCTTTTTGTACCATCAACAGATCGCGAAGATTTGTCGATTATAAAAAAGTTCGTCGCTTGTAAACATTACAAGAATATATACTTTACTATATGGTTTAAAGTGTGATCGATTGCATTTGCGAAAACCGAAGGTATTAAAACTATAAGTTAACTAAAGTTTACTCTTTCTAGAATTTACGCGATGGAACTTATTAATATATTATTTTAATATTTTTAATTATTATTTTTTTTTTTGTATTTTTTATTTATTTATTTATTTTTGTATATTTATTTATTTTTTAATATTTTTTTATTTATATTTATATTTTTTATTTTTTTATATTTTTTTTTTGTGCATCTTTATATTATATATTGTATATAAATATATATTTTTTTATAGTTTTGATATTTTTATATATTTTTTATTTACATATTTTTTTACTAATTGTTTGTTGATTTGTTTTCTATTTATATGTTTTGTTTATAATTATTTTTAATTGGAATGACTTGTGGCTGAGTACGTACACAAATACTAATGTACATTTATAACAGATAATATGGTAAAAGAAATTTTCAAAAAAAAAAAATAAAATACAAATAACTGAAACTAACAGCAGTGAGTTTAAACAAAATAACAACAACAAAGCATAAAAGATGACAACAAAACCAAACAACATTGAAGAAATGCAAGGCAATCATTAAAATAGAGCTTCAAATAAAATTAATAAAAAATAAATTCACAAACCAAAAATTAAAAATGAAATTAAAAAATTAAATAAAATAGTATAAGAATAATATATAACATTACATACATACATAAAGGAAAATAAAACCAGATGTAGAAAAGAAAGTAGGAAAAAGAAATGACTTGAAGAAAAATACAAATAATCAGCGAAAATATTTAGAAAGTGCACAGGACACATATACACACTTACTTATACACATAAACCTACGTATATGTGTATAAACAGTTTCAAATAAAATTAGAAATAGTTTAAATGGAAAAAAATAAAAAAACTATTTGTTAAACTATTGATTGTGTGCCAAATGAGTGCCCAACGCCTGCAAGTATGCTTCGATAAAACGAAAAAATCTTTGAAAAAATGCAATAGGCCTAAAAATTGTTGTAAAAAGTAATTTTTGAACGTTTTGCCAATATATAGTTGCGCACAAACAGCATGCGCAAGCTAAGAGTAGGCCAGCTAGTACGCATGCGCAGTAAAATAAATGCATTTTCACATGAGTTGAATGTTTACAAGTTTGACAAAATGCATCGATGTGTTTTAGGTGAATTTCAAACAAATTTAAACAAAAGAGGCATTAAAAGACAAGCGAATTTATTAGTAAAACAAATTTAAAAGAAGAATATAAATACATTTAAAACGTAACAATAAATACAGAAACAACGCAGCAACGAAGTTTATGGTTCATTAATGTATTTGCAGTAAATAATAAATAAGTAGCGGAAGAGTTTAAGAAATCGATAATGAATGCGGTTAGAAGTGAAAAAAAATATTTTATGTAAAATGAATAAATTGAGTTGAATATATATTAAAGTTTTGAATACATTTTGAATTAGTTGTCATTTAAAAATAATAATTTCAAAGCTAATATGTAAAGCAATAGCAAAGTATTGATTTTTTATAAATATGCTAAATTAAGAAGAAAAAAATAGTAACTGCTAACATTAGTCCGTTGCTGAAAAATATACCTGAGACTCTTATAGGTACGTTAGCCTACACGGCGTATGAGTAACATTTGCACTATGAATTTGTAAGCCATGTTGTGTTGGTGAGAAACATAGTTTTTTTATTAATATTTAATCCGAAAATGTTCACATATGCAAATTACAAGTACAGTATGTTCTCGATAACAAAAAAAAAAATAGTAATAATTTTATAATTAATGATATTTATACGGAAATTATGATGTCTTCACTCAACTACAAAAAGTGTTTCTATGTACAACAATGCATGTAAACTATGACATACAATTTTCACCAATAATTTGCAACATTTAAGAAACAGTAATAGTTTATCATACTATATATAAACATATATAGTAGTTAAATAACATTCAGCATATGCTACTCTAGCACATAGCATAATAAAATAATTTGGAAGTTATAAGTATGCATGATATTGTGCAACAGCAAAAGGCAGATAAATCGATTACTTGCTTATTTATCAGACTTACATCAAGCAAACAACAATTTAATTAAAGAAAATACATACTTACATATATTTACAAACAATTTGCAGTCAAGTGCATTATTGCTTATACATTCAAATACAATACATACCTACAAATACCTATGTATACAAAACATTGAAGATAACATAATTGACAAGCATGCTTACGATATATTTATTACTGCATTTAATAAAAATATAGCAATTATTGAATTATTTATGCAAATATACAGACACATATACAATTATACATGGTGCATACTTACATACAAAATATTATATTTACTGATATATTACACTCAAATTATTACAAATATATACAGCTCTGCAATAAGAAAAAATAAATAAAAATATTTTAACTTGCAAATAATAATAAAATAGCATTAGTTCAGCAATATTTCGGTGTGTGGCAATAAATTAATAATTTTGGGTGAAGAAATTTAACTTGTATTGTCAATAATATTTACAAAAAAAACTTTACTCATGCAGCTAAAAATTACATAGCAAAAGTTTAAGGCTAAAAATGCTCAAGACAACAGTTATAGTACTTAAAATGTACATTAAAAAAATTAATTTGTTTATTTATATTATTTTTTTATATTTAAATTTTTTTTTTAATTTTCAAAACATTTTATTGAACTTGTTTTCAAATTTTTTTTAAATTTTTTTATATTAATTTTTTGTAAAATGATTTTTTTTTTAAATTATTTTTAATTGTTTTTTAAATTTATTTTTTAATTTTTTTTTAAATTTTTTTAAAAATATTTTTACATCTATTTTTAATTAAAAAAAATTATAATTTTATTTAAATTTCGTGATCATTTTTTTTAACTTTTTCTTTTCATTTTTATTTTCAATTTCAATAAAAAAATTTCACATCGATTTGCTAGGTGTAGCAGCATAAATTTTAATATGCCGAATCGTATGTACCACAAATACATACATAGTATATACAAGCAGATGTTGAAGAAAATAAAATTAATATAATGTGTGTTCTAAGCACCAACAATATGTCTACAATCAGATTAAAATTTGAAAAAAAACTAATAATAATAATCTGTTGTATTATATATGAATACAATTTTTGAAACAAGTTAATAAAAATATGTGTTTAGATATATAAACTATTGAATAAAGAAACATTATGAAAAAGAAACTTTTTTTTTTTTGTTCATGAAGTGCTTTATTCACAAATTCTCTATCGAAAACCATAAACAGCTTATGCAAAAACAAATTTTAAGTTTTAGCTTGATCAACCAAGCACACGCTAGATGGCGCTGGGGTAGCAATATTTACAAACTATCTGAAAATTGTGGATTTCAGAATAAAATGTATCTATTAAATATAGAAAGTACAGATCATTTGCAATAAAAAAAAATTTGCTAAAATTAAAGCCAGAAGGCGCTGGAATCGACGTACTCAAAGAAGCTCAAGCTTTCTGCCACAGGATGTTTTTCGGGGAGTCAAAAATATTTTGAGTAAGAGAATATTTTCTGAATTGGCAAGTTACAAAAAAATATTTTATTTTTCAACTCTTCGATTTTATTAAATCCATTTTTGAGGAAATTTTTACATATTATTACATGGATAGAAAAAACGTCGAAAGCTCAGTGTTGATAGAAGTAAAAAAGGGAAAAAGAAAATAATAAAAACCCAAATCGTTATATAACACTTATGAATAATTAATCACAATCCATATTTATAAATAGTAATACACTTTTGGCAACAGAAAAACTCCTAAAGTGGTGATAATATTCATTATGTCTAAATACGTAATTCTCTTCTAACGCTACAGAATTCAATCTAATAAATCTAACGCAAAAGCTAATTAGACTACTTCTATCGGATAGGTTATCAATTGATAACAGCCATAAATTGATTCAACGATTTACAAATAATTACTCTTATGAAACATTAGAGCGATGAACTAATTGAGTACTACAATTATGTTATCGCAATCGGTACAAGTTCTCTTGTAATAGTTGTTATTGTAATAGTGACAGCTATTTCTCCCTCATAAGAGCAACAAAACATGTGTAGTTTCATGTCAGCAGTAATTAAAGGCTAACAAAAAAAGTATCGAATCTACAGACGAGTTCGTTAATATATTATATTTACTAAACTAACAGGTTAGTATATGGTTTGATTGACATTAAAATGATCCTACGCTCTAACACCAGAGTATATAAAATTCAAATTTATGGAAACGTATAGAAGAACCTATGTCAATCGAAGTCTGGCAACGTAAAACACAAATTTCAGGGAGTATATTCTCCTTTGAAAGAGGAGGCAAAATTGTATATTTCTCTCGAAGTATGGCATCTTAAAAGTAAAATTGCAGAGAGTCCTATGGTCATAACGGTCCGAAATTTATATGCGAATATTGTTAAACACTTATTAGCTCAATATAATAAATAAAAATTTCAGTTTAAAATTTTGGACCTTGACCGGCATGTTACCTTTAGAGAGATCAGTTGGGCTTTATTGTGATCAAAAGCAATTAAGCTTCAAGAAATGAAGAACCAAATATTAGAGACCCGATCCCAAAATACATTGGGATCTATAATCGGATTTGCAAAGGATGCTCCAAAAAAATATGACGCCAGATTTTAGTTATAGGTTTAAAAATATACCAGCATAGTACCTTTAAATTATCGATGGCAAGTAATAACTACGGTACCCAAAATACATTCCGACCTATATAACCAGTGCGAACCCGGTTTCATATGAGAACGCAGATCTCATAATTTGTTCAAAGGTCAACGATCGCATAAATATAATTACTGTACTTAAAAGTATTCAGATAAGCTTGCAATGTAATCATACAACTCTCGAGAAAAATTATTACTATATAAAAAGGTATTTCAATAAATAAAATAATAGCGCAATAATCCAATTCTCACACCATTAGTCGTCGTGATTAGAATAACATTTTCATTTGGCTAAACTAGTATCAATGTCGTACTTTGATCTACATTCTATGATCAAACGAGTCATGTTTAAACAATCGAGGCGAAACTGAAAGCAAAAATATCAAATCTAGCGTTAATCAAACTTAATGCAATAAAACAAAAAATACTCAACAAACTCAATAAACGCTAGTACAAATTTTCATAAACAGAAACCACTACTACAAATAACCCTCTCTATTCTCCAATTGTACACATCCCCTGGATAAGTAGTGTCTCACAAGTGGACACGCATGCGAAAGGCGGCAGCTGCCCCCAACACACCAACGAACGTCTGATTTGACGCAGCGATAAAGTTATAAAAAAAGAAAAGCAGAAAATAACAGAGAAGTGAACGCTCGAGACGCTCGCGATAAGGAAATCGACGCGTCGAACAGTCGATCTATCAATCTATCTGCTAATTTAAAGACACGTTAACCAATAGACAGGCAGTTGAGCGCGTAACGTAAAGCCTAGCAGATCACAACGGGTTGTCTAAAGAAAGTAGTCACTCCAAGAAACACGCGCGTGGTCTATATGAAGTCTATCTAGCGTGTGTGCGAAATCAAAGTGTATTGGGTGTAAAAAAAGCATTATAATTTTCAATACTGGTGTTTTTTTTTTAATTTTGTTCTGAAAAATTTACAATACGGCAGAGTGAGGTGAAAGCATTTAAAATGGATCCGAATACTACGCATAGAGATCTGTATGATTTGCCGAATAGCCAACCGAACGCGAAGTCGCGTATTGCAGTCGCCGACGTTTATGAAAAAGAAAATGAAGAGTCCACTTTAGATGACATACTTATTCGCATTAGACAGTTTGGTCCATTTCAGTTGATCATACTGCTATTAATTTGCCTGGCAATGTTGTTCAGTGCGATATATTCGATATCATATGTCTTTACGGCCAGTAGTGTTGTGCACAGGTATGAATCTCAAAAGGGAAATCGCAATAATATCACAAATTGTAAGGTACATTGGGGAGGGTCGTTTTCGCTTGCAGATTTTAACAATATATGTATAGTTTGATTTTTTTTTCATATAAGTACGCTATAAATGGCGTTGCTTATGGGCTTATCTTCAATTGTTATTGTTTAAATGGATTGCCAACTGTCTAAAGTAAATCCGTATACATTTAAAAACAACATTAAGACGTGTTAATAAAAGATTTAAATATAAATATTTAAGTGGATGCCGCCAAAAACGGCTGTTACAAATGTTAGTAATTACTTTATGATAGCAAATTAAGCAAATGAAGATTTTTAATTAATAACAAATTCAACGCGACACTATAGAAATATTTTATTAGTTGAAACAAAAAAAAATTTTATTTATAAGAGTCAGCTTTGACATTCGCATGAATATAATATTTCAAAATTGATTTCGGATGATTTGCAATAAGATGCCGACTGTAAAGTAAAGTTTATTTGAATTAAATTTTTTCCGAAATTTTTATGTTTTTTTTTAAGTGGTGGCAATCCCTTTTTTTAACTTATTAATATATGTGTATACATAAATGCATATAAGCTTAATGTAAACAGACTTAAACGATCGAAATAATTCAAAATTTAATTTTAATAACTTTTAAAGTAAAATAAAAATAGGGTTGCCCTAATAAAAAGTCAAAAAAATTTTCCAAAAGTGATAAGTAAGACATTATTTACACATTCATTTAATCTGACCTTGATCATTGTTTGTATTGCTAGCTTTTCAACTCATTTCCAAGAACTTCACTTGGATCTTTGAGTTTGTATGTTAGATATATGCTATATGTAATGTACGCTATCAGCAGTTCCGACAAATGAGCAGCTTCTTGAAAAAAAATAACGTGTGCAAAATTTCAGATCGATGTGTCAAAAACTAAGGGAATAGTTCGCGTAGATATACCCTGTTCAGAGTACAATAAGTATATTTGCAAGGTGGTTCCAGTGTAAACACTTTTCCTATTTCTTCTAATTTTGATTAATCATGCTATGTAAAGCGTGAATATTTCGGTGTGAAATAATTTATAGCTCAATTTATGGAGACAAAATAATGATGAGATATCACGTGTTCAAGTTCTCTTTTATCTCTCCACTTGTTAATATCAATAACACTTGTATAGAACTTACTTACATATTCTATGTATACATAATTAACAAGTACTTGAACCTGTTCAGCGCCTGCTATGATTGCTTGCTTAAGAGTTGTAATTTGTAAACAGTTCATCGAATTCTAGGTACTATGGGTGACAAAAAAAAAAATACTTGTGAACTATCAAAAATCTGAACAGTACTAGATCACTGAAACAAAAACTATGAGTATATTGCTCCTTCAGACTTAGCCGGATTATTCCCGATCATAGAATCCGCTATAAATGAGCTAAACGTTATAAACTAATCTAATATACCCCATATTGCCTGCATATTAAGTACTTAAATAATAGTAATCCGACAGGTGAAGCCTAAAGCTTAAACTGTGGAGACGAATGTCGAAGGGAGTACATTCATTCCTATTTAGCCAGAAACGTCTTAAATTTGCAGGCTGCAGTATTCTTCAGAATCTTAGGTATTCTAATTGGTATTAAATAAGTAGAGCTCGACAAGCTGAAATTCTAATGCTTATTTTGTTTAAATTGTTGAAGTTCCTAAAAAACAGAGAACCCTTGAACCAATTGAATTATTCTGCAAATATTCTGAGATATTTCTACATTGTAACACTAAAGAGCTGGAAACCCTAGAAAATTTGTAAATTTCCGAACATGGTTTAAACCCTCCTTTTTAAATGACAAAATTTCCTATTACATAGATGCAAAATTCCAGAATGCGATAGCGCTTCCAGTGCTTACGAGGAGAGCTGGACCGAATTTAGCATACCCACGAAAAATAATGGTTTGGATCAATGTAATCGTTTCGTGGGTAATTACACCCAGAATCAAACACCACAAAGTGAATCAGTCGGGTTCTGCTATGCGCATAATTTTGATAGCAACAAGAAGGAGCGATGTTCGGACAATAATTTCATATATCGCGATATGGAAGTAACTATAGCGAATGAGGTTTGAGACATTTTTTTAAACTAATTTATATAAAATATAAATAAAGAACTTTATTTTCGCGTAGTTTAACATTTACTGCGAGGATGAATGGAAATTGGCGATGGTGGGCACCATAGGCAATCTGGGACAATTTGTCGGCATACCATTGGGTGGTTTTATATCCGATCGGTAAGTTGCTTCCTAAAAACAGTTTAACTGCAATTCAGCACTTTTCTTTGTCCATACAGTTATGGTCGACGCACTGCGCTCGCTTATGGTGGCTTCTGTAGCGCACTCTTAGGGATACTACGCTCGTTTACGCCCAGCTACACTTCGTTTATAATTTTCGAATTTCTCGATAACATAGCATCGAGTCCTATGTACTCTGTTTGCTTTATTTTAGGCATTGAATTGGTCGGACCGAAGCGTCGTGTCATAGCTTGCAGTTTTATCACGATTTTCTATGCCATCGGTGAGGTAGCGCTTGGGCTTGTGGCAAAATATTTTCAAAATTGGCGTGTCATATTACGTATTGTTTATATACCGGCCGTAGTATTTATCACGTATATCTGGATACTACCAGAGAGCATACGTTGGCTGCTGAGTCAAGCTAAGGAGGAGGATGCCAAAAATTTATTGCAACGTGCCGCGAGGGTGAATAAACGCAAACTATCCGAAAATTTGCTGGATAAATTGATTTTGTCAAATCGTGAGAAATTAGCTTCGGCGACAGGTGGTCGTTTTCCGATTAGGGAGTCTTTTCAGAAACTAACTTGGCGCATAATAAATTGTTCGTTCTGTTGGATTATCGTTGTGCTTGTCTATTATGGCATCAGCTTGAATGCAGTGCTATTGGATGGCGATAAATACAATAATTTCATATTAATTGCGCTTATCGAAATACCCGGCTTCTTTCTACCACTCGCTATCATGCCTCGCTTTGGCAGAAGATACTCACTGTGCGGTACAATGCTGTTAAGTGGCTTTTGCTGCTTGATAACAACTTTTCTGCCGGCAGGTAAGTGTTTTACAAACAAATGATAAAGCTCTCAAATTAACAAAGCATTATGCTAATTAAGATTTTCGATATTCACAGATCAGTTTGTTTGGCGTTTAACATTTTTCTTAATTGGCAAGCTAATGATTGCGGCAGCTTTTCAAGTGTTGTACTTTTTCACATCGGAAATCTTTCCGACAAATGTGCGCAATAGTTTGCTCTCGTTCTGTTCGATGGTGGGACGTGTGGGCTCGATGTTGGCGCCACAAACGCCGCTGTTGGTGAGTAAAAGAGTTTTATGTATACTCAATAGTAATTTCAACTGTAATCGATACTTTTTTTTATGCGAAAACTAACCTCAATACGGTAGTTTGACCTATTCTCATAACATTATTGAAACCTTCTAGCGAGTGATCAATGGTTCGACATAGGTTCACTGAAGTAATATTGGACCACATAGACATATGTTAAAAAAAATATTAAAACAAAAATAATAAAAAAAACTATTTAAAAAAAATTAAAAAAATTTTTAAAAAAAATTAAAAAAATATATAAAAAAAAAATTATATTAATAAAAAAAATAAAAATAAGTTCGGCTGCACCTTAGTTAGTAGTTATAAAACCCCCTCACAGGTGCATTTTTTATAGCATAAAAGGGTATAAAAAGATCTTAATCTTGATTTTGAGCGGTCAGCATGTATTGGAGCCATATGCTATGAACAATATTTTGTGAAGATATCTTGCCAAATAAAAAAGTTTTTCATACAAGGATTTGATTTTAATCGATCAGTTTGTATGACAACTATATGCTATAGTGGTACGATATCACTAGTTTACAGTCGTTTTGCGACCGTGATGTTACAGGCTGTTTCTTGCTAATTTTGGGTTGTTAAAACCAAAAATGATAGTAAAAATTTCCTAATCAAGAGGTGTAGGGGTCAAACCACCACCATTTACTAAAATGACAAAAATGGCTGTATGTGATAAACAATTTTTGAACTCAAATTGATAATCAGAACACCTCAGTCGCAAATTTTTCCTTCAGATTTGTTGAGTAGTGTAATTTATATATACATATATAGTCTATAGGGTCTCTGACATTTTCTTCTGGGTGTTACAAACTTCGTGGCAAACTTAATATGCCCTATTCAGAGTATGAAAAAACAAACCTAGAAGAAATTTCGACATTTAGTAGTAAAGTAGGAATAGTGTGGATGCAACAAAATGAAAAAAGCTTTAAATACCATTCGAACAATCGGTAATGAGATATTTGACGTTAAGTAATACAAACTAACCACTTGAAATTTAGTACCAAACACAAAAAGTTTTCTATCTGGGATATACCAAAAACTAAGGAACAGACAAAACAGTAGAGTTTTATGGATAAATAAAAAGCATCGAAGATTTGTGATTCCAAACTACTAAATATAATGGTTTGCAAGGGTAGTTTACCGCATATAGAAGGTCTTTAGTCTACATTTAATCATATGCGGTCAACTGCATTACTTTGCTAAAACCTCAAAATAGCTTGAGTTCACTTAAACTATGGTGGACATTTAGATTTCTGGAAGAAAGATGAACATTTTTTTAAAATAAATTATACCACAATTTTAAGGTTCCGATTCTAAGTTATCGCTAAAGCAAACATAACGTGGAGTTTAGAATAAAATTTAAAGCATAAAGTAAATTGTCTCCTTTGACCTAAGTTGACTGAAACTATTTATCATATGAATAGAGATTCGTAAAGAAAAAACATGGAAGCGTTTTAAAGTGAAAGGGAGTGCGGGACAGTACAGGCATTTAAGTAAAATATAGCTGATTTTAAGCAATAACATACGTATACTTTTAATGATATTAACTTATAAAATGTTTTCTTTATTTTACAGGCCAAGTTCAATGAAAATGCTCCCGCCATTTTATTTGCTATTTGTGCTATTACAAGCGGAATTTTGGCGATTTTCTTCCCGGAAACGACAGATGTTATATTGCCAACGACGGTGCACGATGCGCACATTATAGGCGCAAAGGCGTCAAAAAATAAAACTGAAATCAATTCTAGTGATAATTCATGAAGCTTTAGGCATATAATATCTGTAAAAGCACGCAAAAGTTATTTTTTCAAAAAAACTACAATAAATTGAAGCTTAATAATAGAAATAAAAATGAAGATGAAAGAATGACAGCGGTTTCATTTCATAATAAGTACTATGTGGAATCGATATAGATTATTATACAAAATCGATCGTCAATCATCGGTGTCGTTTACGTATAAACAAGCAACTGTCAAGTCTCGAGGTTTAAATTGAACCCTCTGAATACAACAGACTTGAACAAAAAAAATTACAAGCAATTCTTGTGTAATTTAAAGATATTGAATAAGAATCTTTATTCGTAAAAACGGAACGACTTCTAGACAAATTCATACAAAATTACTTAATATTTAAGGGGAATAACCTCACACAAACCGTTGACCGCAAAATTAATAATAAATATTCCGCGTGAAATAAACTGAACCTAGCCTAAGTCAATTTCAATTATCTTAATTATTTGTATTTACAATTCAAAGCTTACTGTATACATATATACTATAGATCTCTACACGTGTTCAGTCAATAATTGTTAGCTATAACTGTCTACTTGTCATGAGTGCTACCAGCTGCTATAACACAGTATATTCAGAACGGTTTTTTATTTAATAACTACAAATAAGTATACATGAATTACCGTTTTTCAAACGAGGACGTAATGGTCATTTCTAACTTACTAGCGTGGAAATACAGATTATTTATTATTCGATTTCTCTGAATTTCGCCCACTTTATTGATACTTTTTACTAGGGATTTCAGATATTAATTGCAATTATCACTATCAAAATCCTTCGTTTTCTTTGTAATTAAAATTAGTCAAGGTTTACGTTCGATTTGCATGTCTGTAACGATTTTAGTGATTTTATTGAGACTGTAAAGCAATTAGATTTCTAATCATTGATTTAACATTTTTTTGCTCACAGTAGCATTCAAACATTACTGCTAATATATTTAATACCATCGGTTTAGAAAAAAATTTGCAGAAATTATGAAAAACCAGTATTTTTAATTTATACCAGTTGTTTGTTCGATTCACACCAATCTCTAAATTTAGGCAAATCGCTTTACTGAATTGGCTAAATTTCAATTACTTGGTTAATGAGTGAGAAAGTGAGCTTCTTGAAAGCGATTATTGATTTTCGCGTGCGTTTTTTGTTAGCTTCCATGCCTAAAACTGCCATAAGTTCTGTACAAGTTCAGGCCGTTATCAAAATGAAACTTTACAAAATTTTTTATTAATAAATTTAATTTTATTACATAAAACATACATTAAATGTGAAAGAATTTAACTCAAAATGGTCACCTTTTGTTTACACACAAGTTCTCATACGATTCGGTTATTGATCAATAGCAGTACGCACAGTTACTATTGTTATTGATGCCCGAACCAAAGTTTTTTTGAATCTCTCCAAATTGCTATGGGGTATTCGACAGGCCACGTTCTTTAACCCTGACCGCAAACGGCCAATTATCTGGTTGGTGACCACGTTGAACCCTTGAAATAACATTTTTTGCATCTTAGAAGTTTTTGCGTTGACTTTGTCGTTTTACTTATTAAAAACTTCTTCAACAGTTGGATTTTTTCATTTATTAAGAGGATACTTTCATGGCCGCTCACCGCCTGCCACTGCAGCATCCGCTTGCATCAGTTGAAGCTAATTTGCTTTAACCGGTTGACCGACGCTGGGTTTTCATGTGGAAATCAGTCGAATAAGTATTAACATTGATCTGGTCGATTTTTTCTAAGTTTTCTGAGAAGAATGCGCCCGGGAACAGTTTTTATGGCTGAATTGGCTTGAACTCAGCGAGAACGGCCACTTCTCTTTATGTCATCAACTGGAGACGATTGGGAAAAACCTTTCTCGAAATATTAAATTTTTTGTGAAGCTCATAAATTTTACTTGCGCTTTTTTTAACACTTAAGTAAAGCAATTAACGCAATACGATTTTCTTAAGCTCCCCACTCCATTGTTAATAAAGAAAGCAAACACAAAACCGATTATTATACATACATGAGTAGAAACTGTGTACATATTATAATAAAAAGCAAAAAGAACGATAACTTCGGCTGAATCGAAGCTATAAAACCCTTACAGGTGCATTTATGATAGCATAAAAAGGAATAAAAATATATTTACCTTTTGAACGTTGAGTTTGTATGACAGCTATAAGCTATAGTGGTCTCATCTGAACAATATGGTTGAAAATTGTGGCAATGACTTGGTTAATAATCTTTGCCAAATTTTATGAAAATATCTCGTCAAATTAAAAAGTTTTCCTTACAAGCACTTGGTTCCTATCATTCAGTTTGTATTGAAGCTATATACTATAGTTGACCAATATCGGCGATTACGAAAAAAAAGCAACTTCTTGGTAAGAAAAAAAAACGTGTAAAAAATTTCAGACCAGTTTTCAAAAACTAGAGACTGGTTCGCACATATACCTGCCTATCTGTCCGACACATAAATAGACTCAACTCGATTATTTATATATTATATATAGTTATAATACTTTATAGTCCCCGACGTTTCCTTTTGGGTATTATAAACAATGCATTATTGTAAACTTTGTAACAGAATTTATGGCAAGACTAGGTAAAATCCCTTTGCGGCCCCTATTTGTGCCGCCACTGAATATGGCATTCAATATAAGGCAAGCAAAAGAGCAAGGTATGCAAATAGAATATGTTAATAGTTCATTATCATGGCTTTAGAGTTATAAAAGAAATTCCAAATATAAAAAAGCAGTCAAAATGCTCAGCAATGACTTACAGTAATGTAATACTTGTAGACTTGCTTACACTGTATAAAGAGGTATGTATGTATTTTTTTAATGTAAAATATGTATGTAAGCTTGCTTAAATTATGGTAACGCTCGCTCGAAAACTATATACATATTTAAACTAGCTGCTCGACTTCAACTGCGTATTCCCTCGAACTTAACCCACTCAATGCGCTAATTCGCTAGCTTTCTGTTTGCATTCGCATTCTTCACCTGCCGGTGAACAGATCGTGCTGAACGCTCAACGTTTCAAAATATATTTTTTTTTGTACTAGCTTTCATAGAGTTAGTGTTTTGTATGTATGTAGTGTAATGTTGTAATATATACGCTTGCGCAGCGTTAATGAAAACGTGCGTGGCGATTAAAAACGACTTACACGCAAATTCCTGACAGCAAACGGGCGGTAGTGGTGATAGTGAACGGTTGATTGGATTTAATTTGTCGCATACTAATGAAATTTAGACAATTTTAATATAAAAAAATTGTGTATGTGTAAGAGTTAGAGCACGTGCTAGTCAAAGGAATTATTGTTATTGAAATGTAATTAATGGTAATGTACATATTTAGTGAGTTCTAAAATTAGCGAAATTCTTGAGTGATTGAAAATGTGAAAATATAATTTGAAACAAAAAAAAAGTATTTAAAAAAATAACTCTATAAATTAATAAAGACATTTATGAACATCAGAACAAATTGGCTGTCATACCACTCAAACCCACTTTCTTCAACGTGGGTTGCTTTCAAAACTAATATAATAAAATATAAAAAAACTATTAAAAATATATAAAATCAAAAGCAAAATATAGCAAAAAAAATCAACAACAAAAAACAAATTTAATAATATATGTAATATAACTACTCAATTGGAAATATGCAATCCAACAACGCTTCTGCAGCACAAAGCATTGAATCATTGTCTGCCGCCAACAGCAGCAAGGAGGAATCTACTTTGGATGCCATACTCATACGTTTGGGGGAATTTGGGCGGTTTCAGATCGTAATACTTATATTAACTTGCCTGCCAGTGCTATTTAATGCCGTATCGTCGGTCACATATATTTTCACTGCTGGAAATGTGGCGCACAGGTGAGCGTGCCATGGTGAAGGTTTAAAAAAAAAAACATAAAAATAAAAAACAAAAAAAATATAAACATAACAAAAAAAATTATTCAAGGTGGTATTCTGATTTAGAAGCCCGAACTTAAGGCGCTGTTTCGGACCCGATAAAAAAAACCAGAACTATTTTTACCATACATTTTTTATATGTTTTTTATTGATATTTAAAGAGTACAAATTAATTGTAATATTAAAAACAAAAAATTTCATTTCTGTTCGGAATTTTTTAAAAATATAAAATATTTGTTTTTCCAAAAATCCTCTCGTAGTGCGATAGTATAATGTATAAAGAAGCTCTGTATAAAATTTCAAGTAGTTCAGAGAAAAACTCGCGGCGAGCTGTCAGTCGCTTTGGTCGGCGCTCTCAATATAAGCTGTAACTCAGAAAATAATTGAAATTTCGAAAAATCGTTTTAGGGACATATTCTTAAAGGGTTATACTACAATAATATGCAAAAACAAAAAATATATTTAAATTTTTAAACCAGAATACCCCCTTAATGACAAATATATATATATATATATATATAGGCATTTTATATTTAGAAAAAGTATTATATGGCGCCTGTAATGATCCGAAGCAGTGTTTCCAGCTCTCAAAAATTTTTCTACCTAAAACTCCAACAAAAGCTCTCTAAATTCCTCTAAAAAATAATTCAACTGGTTTACAGTGGTTTTGTTGGCCTAGATATAAGATCGATTATAAATATATTTGTGTTCACAGTGCATGAAGTTATAAATGGTTTTGTAAAGTTTGCTCTCGTTTATTTTTAAATCTTTATTTTAATTTTACATTACAAAAAGCAGAGAAAAATTTAACTGCCATCACGTGACGAGCCAATCAACATTCATGGCTTTCTTCCATTATTTTTAGAAGCTGTTTGAACCGCTCTCTCAGTTCCTCACTATAATATCCAATTTAGTAATCCCAAATACGGGATTAAAAAATATAAAAAAAATTTATCCCAAAAACCGGATTAAAAATTATAAATAAAACTGATTGAAAAGTAAAAGAGAAAATTTTTAATCTTAAGCATATAATTCAGAATTAAAACAAACAGAATTTGTTTTAGAATTAACATTTATTCGCGTTTGCGTACTTCATTCAAATCAAAAAATAATATTTTAAATTTTCAGTTTTAAATGCCAAACAGCTTGAATTAAAAATGAAAATTTAATTTGTAATCTCAACATCGAAATTAAGAAATGAAAATTAAATTTCTAAATCCAATCTAAAATTATTGAATTAAAAAATTTGCAACATTCATTTCGCATGACAGTATACCAAATTTTCATTCGTACTATCAGGTGCAATCCAGCCTGTAATATAACAATAAATTGTAAATAACGTCATGTGAGTTGAAAAACTTTACAGGTATAGCAATTCACAGTTATAAAAATGATAAACATGACAAAACAAATGCCACATATCTTTTTATGGTATATAGTAAATATATATATACTTAGTGTGGAAGTCTACATTCAAAATCCAACAACAAACGAGGATGTACTTATAGGAGTTGTTGCAGATTCTTTAGCTAAATTAAGTAAAAATACCTTTTTTTTAACTTTATTGATGTAAGGCTATTTGACGACGCCGGTAATTCTACAATAAATGATTATAAATAATGAATTTTATATTGTTTATAGTTATTATTTATGAGAAGGAATATTATATTTATTATGATTATAAATGTAGAATTTGATATTGTTTATCGTTTTTATTTATGAGGAGGAACAGAAGGTTTTGGTATTCTCTGTTTGAATTCAAAGTTGAACATTTAAAAGGATATGAACTACATGGTCCTTTCTAGTTCAGATCAGTTTCTCGAGTCTTTAAATATTATATTTCTGGTAATATTTTATCTCTTCCGCTTTAGGCATTTTAATTAAATACTTGTAATAAATAACGATTAGGGTAGCAAAAAAAAATTATTGCTTTGTTTCTGTAACCTATTTATCATATATTTCAGTTAAAAAAATTAATATTCAAAGTATAAAAAAAACTCTACAAAAACTCATAAAAATATAACACCCCTAAAAAATCGCATTCGACTCTTTTACCTCCTAAATTTATGAGGAAACTCCCTAAGTTGGTAAGACTGACCCGAAGATTTGAATTTTAAATTAACAAACCTTGACTTTTTGGTAAACATAACATGCGGAAACCTAATTAAATAAATTCCTTTTCAATAAATTTTTGTACAATAGCACTGGTTACCTGTAAGTTCTGACTAATTTTCGCAGAATTTTTCAATTCTACGATATTTTCAATATTCTCAAATCCGATTAGATACACTATGCAAATAGATGGTTTCTTTAAACCCTTGGATCCTGATATTGTGATATGCCACTCAAAAAGACCTAAAATCGACCCCAGTTTGCTATCAACCTGATCCTCAGACAGGTCATGGCAAAACATTAAGTCTCTACCAGCCGCATCAAAACATTTACTAACCGCTCAAATTAGCCAAAAAACTAATTGATTTATCGAGAAAAAATCAAGACATACATACATACATAAGAAGCAAACAACAAAAGCAAATATACCACCATTACCACAACAGCCACGAGCTTTAAAAATAGTTTAGGCAATGTTTTCCTGCCGCTACAAGATCCACAGATGTGGAGCCTAGGTTGAGTCATTGAAGACCGATTTGCTTCGTATTCAAAATAGATGAAATCAAGGTCGCGTTATATCTATTAGGGTGATAACCATTTCGTGGAGCCCTAAGAAAATGTCTCACTTTGACAATTTATTTTCTCTGTCACAAATGAACAGCAAAATTTCTTTGCTTACTATTCTACTAATTGCCTATTGTTTAAGGCCCTAAACTGTACTTTAAGCTGAAAAATCGATGTTTTCAATAGACCCATTAGGTAAGTAGTCAGTAATATCAAATTTGTTGAGAAAATTTTAATTGCATGGCGAAACATTGGTTGGTTTCGTATTATTGTTAGTTGTCCACTTGAAGCAATATCAAATATTTAACCTATAACATGAGAAATCGTGAGTTTCGTCACTGCGTAGCTACAGCTCGTATTCAGCATATTATCACTATTTTCACCCTTTTCCAAGAAACAAAATCAAATTAAAAATCAGCATTTTTACAAAAAAAATAAAAAATAAAGGACTGCTAATTTAGTATATCAATACATATGTATGCACATCTCTACAAGTACTATTAGTAATAAATTTGTCTATTTCTCTTCGATTAGTCTGTGAGACAAAAAAATAATAATAATTTGTATGTTCATCGAAGTGTGTTAATAAACCAGGTAAACGTAAAATTTCGCAGATTCATTAATCATAAATCACGTCAAAGCATGTTTACCATTAGGAAATGAAGCGTAAATTGGTTTGTAGGTTGCCTAGATCAATATGCACCTACATATTATTCACGATAATTTCTTGGACTTTACTCAACGAAAAAAAATTAAACAAATAAAAATGTTAACTTCAGTTGCACCGAAGCTATAATCCCCTTCTCAAATAGAAACGATTCTTTACAAGAATTTGATTTTAATCGGTAAGTTTGTATGGCTAACATAGATATATGCTAGTCCGAGCTGAATAATTTCTTAGGAAATTGCATCATATATATTTTATAGGGTCTTGAAAATTTTTCCTGGATGTTACAGACATTCTGGCAAACCTAATATACCATGTATGGGTATACAAATATTGAACATGAAACAAGTATACTGCAAATACTGAACTACTATTTCCATCCTATGTGTAGAGTGTAACAGTTCTTTGATAAGGCTAAAGAATATAATATTATAATATTAAGCTGAGCTCATATACCATAATAAAAAAAAAATAGTCTTAGGAAGCAAGAGATTAAATTCCGTTGTGGTCTTGACATCCTCAGTGAATCCAAAAATTTCAGATAAAAACCTTTTTAATGATGAATATTCGCCGTAAGATTAGGAACTGAGAGTAAGAAAACTTTTTGAGTTCAAAACCGAGACCGAACCAAGAAGCTATAAATATGGGAACTTTTTTTTTAAACGGTTTTCTCTCGCGGTATTTTGTCAAACTTTGAGTGTACTTTTGACTTCAAAAAAGTTTCTAATCAAATCCATCTGTTATGAGGAGCTTTACAGCTCTTATATCTGTTCATTTATCAAAAAAAATCAACCACACAACACAAATAGGAAGAAGTGGCAACCAAGTGAGTTGAATACGCGGTAATCTCCTGGATTAAAATAGAACCTAAGCCGAAGAAAGCAACCGCATTTATAGAAGATTTTCAATGTTCAGATCGATTTCATCAGCCATTCCATTATTTGTCATCTAACATCAAGCCATATAGTACCGATCGACCTTAAAAAGATCGCAACCTACAACACCTACTTAATTTTAATTTAGGTGTAATATCACGGAATGTGATGGGCCACAGAGTGCTTACGATGAGCCATGGGTTAAATATGCCATACCAATGAAGAATAGTGATCTCAATCAGTGCCAACGATATGCACCCAGAGCAATTACGAACTGGAGCGTTACAAACGAAGCTGAACAATATTGTACGGCAGATCTTTTTGATGACGAGGAGACGCAGGATTGCCCTGACAATAATTTCATATTTCGCGATGACGAAGTGACAATATCAAATGACGTGAGTATAGAGCAATGAAGAAGTGAAGAAATATAGTTTGAAAAGTAATATATACTCGCATAAACTCTATAGTTCGGCATCTACTGCAACGATGAATGGAAGCTGACGCTCACCGGTACCATTAACAATGTGGGACAATTTATCGGTATACCGTTAGGTGGTTTGATATCGGATAAGTGCGTAATATTTTTAAGATACAGCGAAGATTTTAGTTATGAACTAATATTATAACATTTCTACGCAAATATTTAGATACGGTCGGCGTAATGCACTCGCGCTTGGTGGCGTACTGAGCGCCATATTTGGGATTGTACGCTCATTTACTACCTCCTATGTGCCATTTCTGGTCTTCGAATTCCTCGACAACGTCGCGAATAGCTCACTCTATTCCATTTGCTTTATCATTGGCATTGAGCTGGTCGGTCCCAGCAAGCGCGTATTCGCCTGCAGTATAATTACGATCTTCTATGCCATTGGCGAGATGTTCTTAGCCGTGGTCTCTATGTACTTTCCGAATTGGCGCATTATGCTACGTATATTCTACATACCGGCGTTGGCTGTGATCTCCTATTACTGGGTTTTGCCGGAAAGCGTGCGTTGGCTGCTTAGTCAGGAACGTGAATCAGAAGCTACAGATATACTGAAACGTGCCGCGCACATAAATAAACGTAGACTATCTGATGCAACGTTGGATAAATTGATTTTGGCGAATCGTGAAAAACTAAGCAGTCAAAGGGGTGGTCGTTTCCCTTTGCGTGAGGCTTTCGGTAAATTATTCTTTCGTATTGCAAACTGTTCGCTATCTTGGATAGTGACGGTGCTGGTCTACTATGGACTCAGTTTGAACTCGGTGCTTTTGGCCGGTAATAAATATTTTAATTTCATATTGATTGCGTTTGTGGAAATTCCCGGTTTTTTCCTACCCTGTCTGACGATGGATCGATATGGTAGAAGATATTCGTTATGCGGTTTTATGTTGCTCAGTGGTGTATGCTGTCTGTGTACGGTGTTTTTGGGTTCAGGTCGGAAATCCTTGTTGAAAAGCTGTATTTTATTTGTGAACATCATTACTTATATTTTTGTTTTTACAGGGAATTACTATCTACAGTTGAGCTTGTTTCTAGTGGGTAAGCTCGCCATCACCGCAGCGTTCCAAGTTTTATACTTTTTCACTTCGGAGATATTTCCAACGAACTTGCGTAGCAGCTTGTTGTCTTTCTGCTCGATGGTTGGCCGTTTTGGTTCAATGGTAGCGCCACAGACGCCTTTGTTGGTAAGAGTTTAAAGTAAATAAAAGCAAATATAGTTTCTTCCAATACCTTAAATCATTAAATAAATAAATTGGAAATATGCTGAAGTGGCGCTCAAACATAATTTCAACAATTATATTTATCTATGATAAAAGGCTTCTGTCCATAGACCAACATTTTTCTCATGGAAGTACAAATAGAAACTACTAGGAAGTCTGATGATCGCACATTAGTTCAATATAAATAACCGAAACAAACCCAGATATATGTATATCCGGTCAACCTTCGGTTATGATTCTGCAGCACTACCAAAATTATTTAAGGAATTTAAGGAGAAGATATTTTCTTAAATATATTTTAACCATCACCGATTTTGCTTCATTGTTATTTCTAACTTGTTAAAAAAAAGTAATTTTCTTGTCTCTCTTCAGGCTAAATATTATGAGAATGCGCCCGCCATATTATTTGCAGTTTGCGCTCTAGTCAGTGGTTGCTTGTCGCTGCTCTTTCCGGAAACCTCAAATACAATTTTACCGACGACAGTGCACGAAGCGGATACAATTGGCAATAAGAAAACATCGAGCAATCCAAACAGCAGCACATTTAATTTAGAGAATGAAAGTACTTATATGTAATTAGTTATTTAACAATAATATTAATTTAGTAATTTTAAAAGAAAACTTAAAAAATTACAGTATTGCTTAGATAGTTAGGTAACATTTGTAATTTTAAAATTATTTCTATTAAAAACAGAATTTTTTTGAGTTCAGATGAACTCAGTTATAAATGCTTTCAAACTAACTATGTCGACCAGTTGCAAACCAACATTTGTCAATTTGGCGAGACAAGTTGGGCTGTACTGGAAAAAGTAATGCAAATTGTGAGAACAACGGTATGAAATAAAAAATAATTACAAACTGAAAGGGTGATCTTCAAAATATTTGCTTTTCATTCAAAGTTCAACATATTGAGAAAGGTTATGGTCACTTTGACCGACAGTCCTGACAAAAAAAAATATATTTTATATACTTCTCTGCAAAAAAAACAATACTAAAAAGTTGTAAAAAATTCTCTGAAGCTGTTGAATTAAATGGAAATTTTTTGAATTATTAATCAAAAAGTGTTAAAATTAGTGTGCGTTGAGGTTTGACTACGAATAATTTTTGAACGGTTAATTAAAAGTACAAACTCATAGAGTATGCGCATCATAACAATACTTTGTAAGCGAGCTATAAAATTCAGGAAAAAAAACGGAAATGTGCAGTAAAATAATTAAATTTTTATTCCATTTACTGCAAATATCAGTGACGTGAGATTTTTTTCAAATGTGATATATAGTATATCTATTTCTGTCCAATAATAAAATAGGAAACTGAGAAGCGAATGATCTTCCTCTTAATATTAGGAGCGCATATTTAAAGAGCTTTTTTGAGTTCTCTACAAACAAATTTTATAAAGTGAAGTATTAAGTGAAAAAAATTAACGATTTTTTTGACCCTGCTTTATATACATATATACATACATACGTACGTAAATGTCAAATATACTGCAACCATAATTTTTATTAAATATTTCATACGGCAACCCAATTTAGTTAATTAGCAAGTTGTCCCAATTAAGAGGTATAAGGAAAATGTTTTAATTGACTCAATTATACCTTTTAATTGACTCAATTATACCTTTTAATTGAGTCAATTAGCATTAGCAAATAGTCTAAATTTCTGTATAATATATATATATCTATGCATATGTATACAATAAAAATGTGTTAATTGACTCACTTCTTACTTTTAATTGAGTCAATTAACAAATTTTCATTTTAATTTAGTCAACTAACAAGTTTTCAATATACGCCAAGTTTTACAAGACGCCTGAATTTCAAAAATATGATTTTGAAAAAATAACAATCTGGCAACACAATTAAACAGTTTTTTAAGTTTTATTATAAAAATCATAAAAATTAATTACAATGTTATTTAACAGCTATTTACAACATCACACAACATATCTGAACTAATGACTAACATTTTAACATTTTAATTAACAAATTGTATAAAATAATAATTAATATACAATAATATAGTGGGTTATTAACTAAATATCAGTGATTTTGTACTATGTAAATACTATATACACTTTTTACTTTAAATAAAACCTGCTTAAAACGAACCGCGGTAACTTACTAAGGCAGCATTAGACAGAAGATAACACACTTTCTTCTCTTTGATAATTAAGTAATAAGGGTTTAATGTTCTAAATTAAGACTACTAAATTAAACTAATATTTTTACAAAAAATAAGACCGATATTTGGTGGGAGAATAACTTTTTGTTTGCAAAGGCCCCCATCTTATAGGCTACACAAAGCTTGGACGGCTTAACCAAACGCTTAAAGAGTAATAATTATTTAATTTATATCAAAAATAAAATTTTTAGCTTTAATATAATATAACAGTTATACATACATGCTGATACTACTCGAGTACTGGACATATTCTTCCAAAAACATGCTCGATGGAATTGAGCTTGTAATTCACCTAAAACACACGATCAGTGATCAAGGCATTATCCTTAGAACCATAGCTACGCCGCCTAGCGTTAACTGCAACTGTAATTTTAGCACCTGAATTTTACCGCCTGAAAGCGTAGGGAAAGTTTTTAAACTGAAAAGTGCATATGTTCTAAACATTGCATCGTGTACAAACCAGCATTTGTCGATAACCTCTAGGTTATGTGTTTAATGCCAATAATAATTGTACGTGTTTCCGCTCAGCATATGCAAAGTTCAGGTAACACGCGTACATAGGTATTATGCCAATTTTTTCGAAAAATTTAAATAAAACAAAAAACAACTTTGAGTGATAAGACTTGTGTGTGACTCGTTAGTCGTCAACATATGCAGATTAAAATTAAGCAGTAAATCTACCAAAATATTTATTATTGTCATGCAAATAGGGTGTTCATCTAAAAAATCACAGATCTTTTAAATCCACTTACCTATAAGAGAGTTTTTTTCAATTTCGATGTGATTAAGATGAAACATCAGATATAATCGCATCGATCACTCAACAGCATGAGTCAATTAATTTTAAAATATATGATTTTTTTAACTCTCAGCTTAGCAAATACATACGTAGCCCTATTATATTTCTACAATATATTATATAAACTTACAACATTTTTTGAAAAATTATGTTATCTGAAAAAAAATATAGGAAAATTGGGATTCTACAAGAGATATGTCAAAAATGTTATGTTAGGTTAGTCTGGTAGGCTAATAAGGCACGCATAAATCAGTTTTGGTCCTTTGTGGAATTCCGTTACGAAGCTCTTGAGAAGTAGTCATCCTTTAAGGTGCCTGCGCTTGACGCGAATTTTAACAGAAACTGTGGCCTCACTAACGATACCTCTTCCAGTGTCTCATACCGTCCGGCCTTTAAAATGCACAAGAGATGCTTCATTGTTGCTCTGATGCCTTGCTCTTGACATTTCCTGCTTGTCTTCTCGATCTGTCAGCCCCATTCTGTAGGCATGTGCCGCCACCAGACTGCGACCAATGATTATTCCAATTATGTTCATAAAGTCCCTTCAATCGAGTGGATCTTTGTATATTTACCATCTACCATTTTACAAATGACTTTTGCAGTTTTGCAACCAGGTAGATCGTTCTATCACGTTTTGACTTGATTTCCTATGCGTTTTCCAATGTTCACCACGTATTCGAGTGACCACTCGTGGCAATCTCGTCCAGTACCTCATTGCCCTCGATGCTTTTGTGATCTGGCACCCAGTAGAGATGAAATCGCTTAATTTTCGCGATACCCTCTACTAGTGCTCTGCTTTCCGAGACACTTCTGGCCGAAATGAGGTTAAAAGCTTGATTGCTGCTTGGCTGTCCACGTAGATATTGACTCTGGAGTTGTCTGCTGATTCATTAGAGGCTAACTCGGCGTTTGCGCGCAGTTAACATGCCTTTACACAAACCATCTTTTCCTATGTTTACTCTAACCTTCTTCCCCAATCGAAAAGTGTTATTATATAGCGGGTGCTTGTCAAATCGCTAATACCCACCAAGCTATGCCCGAAGGTTCTAGTGTAAATTCTCTTACAGCCAATAGTCGCTCCGCCGATTTTGCCGCTCAAGCTATTTGGTGGTGTGAAAAAAGAAACCTAAAAATTATTCCAGAGCTAAATTCTTAATCCTAGCGCGGTATACCCGAGCTTTAGTTGACCTGATATCGGTTTTGAAGCATATGCAAATTAGATAATAAAGGTAATTTATTGTATTACACAGTCTGTTTTGAGTCCATTGATATGTTTTAAAAAAAAATTAGAAAAAAAAGAAAATGAACACAGTCTGAATCTCCTTCAAAAGTAGAGATTTTATAACTGTGTCCACTCCTTATCATCTTATTATATCTGGGAGCAATTAGAGCTTGACAATAATAATCATTCGTTGTCTTCTATTAGCTAAGCGTTAGAGAGTAGCGAATCGAACACGTATTCTGATGCAAGCGCAATTGTTTTGCGCTTCTTTCTTTGATGAAGAACTTTTCTTTCTTCGACAAAAAAAGGTTTAGTTACCAGTTTTATTTTCAGTGAAAAATTATTAGTGCTTTTGGATCTTAAGTTTCAAAAAAAAAGAAATATTATGTTTTAGCATTACTTTGTCATTTATCTTAAAAAAAATGATAAAAAATTCTTACGTATCCGTATTAAAATGATTCTGCTTTCTGGAAATACATCAATAAAAACTCAATTTCAAAATAGGAACAAACGGTAAAAATAAGGACACATATACATATTTACATCTGTGGAGTTCTAACAACCACTATTATAAAACTCCTTCCGATCAGTTTTGTTAGCTAACTATAGAAGAACAAACCTTTAGAGCAACAATTAATTAATAATATATCTCATTGCTAATAAAAATCTTCAAAACAAGCAAATAAAAACAAAAATGGTCTGAATAATTTCTGAAGACTTATGGAGCCTTGATTGAAAGTGGGTAGTTTTCCAAGACACCTATGTATAACTGATAAGGCATGGACTCAACACCAATTAGCACAATAATTTTTAATTGCATATGTTTGTGAATGTGTTTGAGTTTTAAATAAATACGATTTCTAGCACATCTGTTCCAGAATGAACCACAAACATATAAACGGTAGCCGACCATAGCATTGAATAAGTGAGCTCTGATAATATTATCACACCAAATATATGCAACATATGCTCTCAACTTAGTGAAAGAAACAAAACATTAAAACAACACATGAATTGTTTTCAATAAAGCAGGGTACTGGCATGGTCAGAAAGGTCACGCAGAATCTCACTTCTTTAGCTGTACGATAGACAAGAACTGCTCGCCTACTGATAAGAACACTTGTATATAAAGGCCTCTACATTGTCGAAACATTAACAGTCTTTAGGCATTGGAGCTAAGTATCTAATCCGGAGCAGTTGTCGCAATGAAGTTAACTATCGTTCTTTTGGCCCTCGTTGGCCTAGTAGCCGCCGCTAGCATTACTCCGACCAATGAGTTACCGGAGCCGATCATGTTTTCTTGGAGAAACAGAAGTTCCTCTTCGAAATCGTTTACCGCGTGGAGGATCCACTGATGTTCGAGGAGTACATCAAGATGGTCTATTGGTCTACGACAAGCGACTTTACACCGTAAGTTTCAATTATTGTCGATTTACGTCTCCCATCATGAAACTAATATTATACATATATACACACTCTGCATTTCTAGCACTTTGATCAATATATGGAGATGTTCTAACGAATCCTATAAATGGGCGCGCTCTTGCCCAGAGGTGAATTCTTTGCGCATCGTTAAGACTCACCACAAACAAGCTTACGGTCTATTCAACTTCTTCATACGCCAAGGATTGGGAAACGTTCCAAGCCAACGTTGTCGGCTCGCATCCATGTCAA